GGCTTTGGCCTGGCTCGGGCCTGGCTCCGGCTCAGGCCAGGGCTTCCATGCTTGGAGAAGGAACGGGTACTGGAGACGTACTAATACGGGATTACACACCCTACTTCATCTAATGGCCACTATGTACAAGGTTAGTGATCCTATATACATCTGAAGAGCACAACATGCTCACCGGACTGTGTATAGGTTACCGATGTGCCTCAAACCCGCAATTCTTAAATATGTGTGGGTACCGTAAGCCATTAGAACAGCCCCGTATAGGGATAGAATGCATGAGGTTAAATCCACAACAGGTATGGTGTGACTTACCTGTGATTTGAAGTCTGGTTCAGCTCATTTAGCCAGTGCCACAAAGCCCCGGGCCTGCAGGGCCTGGCTCGGGCTTCGGACAACCCAAGCCAGGCCCTGTCCTCAGGCTTGAGTAGGGCTTTGGCCTGGCTCGGGCCTGCTGAAATAGGGCCTGGCCTGGCCTGGCTCGGGCTTGAAGCCAGGCCGGGCACAACACTACTCGGCAGTTGACTGCATGTAGATCCATTGGCGACCAATGGACGCTATCACTGAAGTGCCGGTCGCACGGTGACATGGTCAAATTGCATCCGGGAATCCAATCCAGTATCTTGTCCTTCGCCACTGGTGTGATGTATCTGAGGGTCCATGGACGTTGAGCCGATCTGCCAGTGATTGTCACTCCACCTTTGATTGTGCCAATTCAGACCATTTGAATTGACTCGTTCTGACAGATAGAAGAGTATATCACAACGATATGGAAATCACGGCAGCAATTACACTGGAGTGTCAGGGTAACATGGCGAACATTTGAAACAGTTTAAAACATATACAGGGCTCGCTGAGGGCGATACGATAGGCTATGCCGTGACGGCGCAGAAACTCGCAGAAGCTTGGGTCGGGTTGGTTCCGCGGATGGTGAACGCACGAACGTGAATACCGAGGCTGCATGTGTGTACTATGAAATCGAGTCCATAGCTACGGCTCGAGCACCATATGCATATTCCCCGCAGACAGCGTGAAAATTCCTCGCAAGTTACTATCAATGGAGGAGAAAGCTTGTACGTGTATCTAGCCTTCGGAACCATATAGTCGATGGGACCGCATGGGCGACTGTTATACACTTACTATAGTTTCCTACCTTCCTTGGGCCGCCCAATGAACTAAGAGGATATTTGAATGGGATAGGATGGAATTTCGCGCCGAACAATAACTTATTTTAGCCGCGTTGACTTACTATACTTACTTACTAACAGAACTCATACCCTCACTATCGTATGCGATGCGAGTGGACTGATCCAACTGGACTGACATCTCCCGGGACCCGGGTGGCAGACTTCCAAACACGTGATGCTTCCCATCGTCGAATTCGAACTTTTCGAGAATACCCTCACTGGCAGACCTCCGCATTGCAGAATTCAGTTAACGCACAGTCTCGAAAGTTCACAATCTGTTCCCACGACGATGAAAGGACATTGGGATCCAAACAATGGGCAAATCGAAAGAGAAGACTCCAAGTTTAGTTGTGGCAAACGGAGACCCCGGACATTACTTGTATTGTCGGGGTTCCCGGTCGCGGCCTGCTGAGACAAGGATCGATTCGATCATTTCATCATACTCAGAGCCGCTAGTAGATTCGTGATGCTGATTTTCAATACAGATAATGGTCTGGGTGGCGATCCAGCCTTGGACCGATAGCAAGGTTGATCACTATCCTCCCATCAGAGCCACAACCCGCCTGTACATACACTTCGAAAGATACTGATGTCATCCTGCATCGATACACTTCGATGTCATGGCGCACTATGGATGGCGCACTATGGACTCTGATGGGGATGGAAAGGCCCACTGATTCACCCTTGAGACAGGATCTGGTGGATGCTGATCAAACAGCGACTCCGCGATGTCTTCAAGATGCGTCATGACCCACAAGATTCGGCAGACCTAAGCTCGATAGGCTGTACATGGGGTGCCAGCGACACTATTTATCTAGCGTCTTCATGTAACCTGACAGTTCCAATAAGCTGCATTCACCGTCCCTGACAAGGAGGATGACATTTCAATTCTTATCCACCTGTATTATAGCGGGTCCAGTATGTCTCCACCGTAGCTCATGCATGCGAGGCTGACCACTCCACAGGTTACCCATCTTTTCTTCAGGCGGCGGGAGCCTAATGCCCTCAGTTTCATACTAGGGCTGTTCGCACTTTCGCTGTTCTCGTCCTTGGGCCTGTGGTATGCTTCGAACCGTACATCCCTAGCAAGTGCTGGAGCACTAGGGACAATGCACACCGTCACTTATCTCGTGACGCTATCCATGTCTATCGCGTGCTATCGTCTGTCGCCATGGCATCCCCTCTCCCGTTTTCCTGGGCCTGTATCTGCTCGTCTCACCAAGTGGTGGATGATTTACCAGATTGCGGTGAAAGGGGGTAGGCATGTCAAGCTGCGGGAGTATGTTGATTACCGGCTTCGCCGAAGTCACTCTGACGCCCACTACAGACTTCATGCCCAATACGGACCGTGGGTTCGCGTAGGTACGCAGCTGAGCAAGGTCCACCACAACGTACGGCTGACCAGCTGTAGGCCCCAATGAAATTTCGGTTAACCTTCCCTGCGCTGTTCGTCCGATATACAACAAGCTCGATAGGTCGCCGTTTTATTCTGGTAAAGTGCACCTTCACATCATCTCGCGACATTGTTCTGAAATAGTACACGATAGCGATACCAGCAGACGCCGATACCCTGATTACAGTCTTGGATCGTCAAGTGCACGCCAGTCGCCGGCAGGTCGGTACCTTATTTGATTGCTTTGGATCGACTGTCAGAGCTCACTCATCGATACGCCGTATGGTGCTCTCGGATTGCAGGCTTGGACAAAGGCAGTTACTTCAGATGCAATGCAGTCTTATATTCCATTCTTGATGGTGAGGATTGTATTTCATGGCGCTCAACATACTAAACTCACCACGACTACTAGGCCCGTATAACTCAGCTTGATCGCATATTCGATAGAGAAACCTCCAAAGGTCCGGTACAAATTGATCACTGGATTAATTTATTCCTGATGTATGTGATATTCGTCGTTGTCCAACGCATTCGTATACATTTGACTTTCGCCGTCCAGGGATCTGATGGGTGATATGGGCTTCTCTGGAGGGTTCGAGACCATGAGTGCAGGCAAAGATACAGAAGGATGGATGGAAATGGTGAGCTCAGGTCATTCCAACTCCCGACCATTCTCGATCCTTCGGCCTTAGCTCGCACAAGGCGTGTTCTTTGTAACGTGTCAGTACATCAGTGACTTAACTCCACGCAACATGAAACCAACACCGAATTTGTATAGCCATTGGCCAGGTACCTTGGATGAGGAGTATCGTAGAGTATCTGCCACGGCGTGGTCCAATCCAATCTTTTCAGCATGTCCGTATCCTGTGTCCCTATTTGTGCGTACACTCACTCTTGCCTAAGTTTGCTAAGAAGAAAGTTGCCGAGATTAAGGCGAGCACTGGCAATAAGACACGGAGAGATATACTCGGTACTCTGGTATGTGCGAGAGATCTATACTAGAAGCAGTCAGTCAGCCCTGATTCATTCCTCCAAGCTTGACGAATCATCGGCAATATATCGCCTCAACGAAGCAGAGGCAGCCGCTGATGCTGCGTTGATCGTTGTTGCTGCAACAGACACGACGGCGCAGACACTTGCCGCCCTTGTTCCGTATACTATGTGCGACAGAAATATATTATCCAGGCTTCAGGCGGAAGTGGGGACGGCTTTCGTGTCTTATTCCGGTGAATCAGAGAACATGGATGTATCAGCGGTGATGCGCCTTCCATTCCTTGATGCTTGTATTCAAGAGGCTTTGCGACTCGTCCCTCCCGGACCATTTGGTGGGTGGGTTGCAGACTACGGGATTTCTAAAGTCTCTGAGATGCTTTTTATAGGACCGCCTCGCACTTCAGGCTCGGTCGGCGTTAATATCAGCGATGTCTACATTCCACCCAATACAACCATCCACGTGCCGGTCTATACCATGCATAGGGACAGTGCAAATTTCGGCCCTAATGCTGACGATTACGCACCTGAACGGTGGCTAGAAGGCAGCATCTGTACCATTAATTTCGAGGGTAAACCCAAAATTATTAAAGAAGCATTCATGCCATTTAGTGCGGGCTATGCGAGCTGCGTTGGAAAGAAATTAGCCCTGCAAAATATGAAGTGAGTTCTCACCGTGAGCTCAGAGTGAGCTCACCCCATTCATCGGTTTTAGGATATTCATAGCATGGCTCATACATACATACATTATTGATCCAGTCGCAGACTTCAACCCGGAGAAATTTGACGCATCATATCAAGTCAGTGGACTTTTGTCATGGTTGGGAGCGGCCCCAAATACTATACTGACGTTCGCGAATTTCCTAGGAATACGGCCTTTGGTGTCATGAGCCATTACAGGTTTACCTTCGTCGCCGTCGTATTATAGACATTACTCACTGAGGTCTACGACTGTTTCTAAGGGTTGTATACATGTAGAATGACCCAGAGGTGCCAGCCTAGCTGTCTGAAATCTGATTAGCATTGGTGTACATGGCTGGCGAAATAGTACTAGTACTGCACACTAACGCTGCGCGAATATTAATTCATAATTTTCAGGCCTTGCCTGTGATCCTAGAGCTAGCATTGCGTCAATGCCGCTATTAGTGGCTGATGCTCAGCACTGGCATTAAGCAAGCGAATAATCGACGTTCACTGACGGGGTCCATTTGGTTCTACCGCCTTGGGCTCCTTCGCTGGAATATATAAGGCCTTTGCAGCGGCCACTTGACTCCATTCGATCTTCCAGGTCTGCACTCTGCGATGAGTGAGCTATATACTGGCTAGACATGCTCCGGAAACTGGAATTGGTACAAGTAGTCACCGGCGCCCAAGCGCTCACCGCCGGACAGGGTTGAGCCGAGTCGACTCGAAACTAAGTACTGTCTATAAGTCACTTGTATACTTACTCCGACTCGAACAAACTTGTTGACGTTCAACAGAACCTTTCTGCGTTGTAAATGCTGAAGCTGTAGTATTGCGAAAGCGGAGGATGTGCTTCTTGACGCCAAAGCCAGTACTGGACACATCAGGGTCTCTCTGAGAGGGCGCAAGGCAATTTGTAAGTACAGGTAAATAGTGTACCCATTCCCGCAGCGCGAGATACCTTGCGACCAGCAAGGTAGAGACGGGCCGAGTCCCGAGTCGACTCACTAGGACCTGCTCCGACTCGGACAAGGTTGAAGGAATGGACAACCGCCTTCCCAACGCTCCTAATTACAAGTATTCCGTGTGGGTAGCCACCAGTGGCCATCACTAAAGTCTACAGTATTTCCCAAACCTATTCTAACATTCACTAGTGATCTTAGCTTCTAGGCCCATTATCCGCGAAGACTTTTCTGTGACATATCACTGTCATAGCCGACGAGTCAAGCTGTCATAGCCGACGAGTCAAGTTTGATCGCAGTTATCTGAGGCTTTGGACGACCTATTTCCGCTACTGGTGAGTATCCGCCCGGGCAGAACGCTCCGCGCGCCTTTCTGCCATATGCATAAGCACCAAATTGCAGCTACCGGAGGACCCGGACGGTAACCGAATGGCGCGACTATTGAAAATATAAGTACGGTACAGCATAAAAAGATATGACAAGCGTCAGTGTCCACTTATACTGAATGCTGAGATGTCGAGTGGCAGTAGTAGGGAATATTGGAAAGATGCGTAGTATTATCCGGACTTGATCTTGCGAAGAGCACGCTTCCGAGCGGCCTCACAATTGCTGCACGCTAACTCGATTGCCTCCATCCACAGTTGGCAATCCCGGACGGATGTCGCCCTCAAATTTATGGTGTCCCCCCCTCGAGGATACAGAACTGCAAGCTGGAATGTGCTGTCGTCTGCTCAAGATGCCATTACAGACCTCTCCGTATTGAGGCAAGGGGATGCTGACCTTTGCTTCCGGGTATATCTCTCACCTGCACCTCTGACAGCGATAGAGGCTGAAGAAAAATGATTGAACCTCGGTTAAAGGATCTCACGCCCCGGTCAACTCACCATGCGATATATTGATTTGGCGCCTTCGTCTGTTAACAGCAATATGTCATTGCAAAGGAATGCTCGAAGCTTTCTTCCGCTTTTAGCCTTCATGAGGAACCCTTCTTTAAGCAGACGCCTCGGACCCATGTAGCGAGTAGGAGCAGTCAAGTCCAGCCGTCTGCGGTGAAAGAAGTCCATGAGAGTCGCTATGATTGAGAGGCTGTTTGCTTACCCTTGGCCGATCCATAGGTCGCGCGAAATGCTTTTTAGACGTTCCCGTCCCTCTTGCTCTCGAATGCTCTCATTAATATGGTCCAAGATCCTTTCGGCAATCTCGAGCGCATGGCTAATTCTTTCTTTATCTTCGTCCATCTCAGTGTAATGTAAAATCTGTGCACAGCGGCCAGATGAGGACCTATGTTGCTGAAATGAGACAGACCAACCTGTCTGATGAGGAGCGGATATCTTGTAATGCGTTGCACTGCGAATGAATATATCACGGGTACAAACCAGGCACCACAGACGTTTGACTCACTAGGTACTAGTAAGTAGCTCGATAGATCGAGGTTTCGAACCGTCGGATCCTCTTTCAGCCGCTGATTCCACATCAGAGAATGATACTCATACGAGCATCCTACTATCGTACCTGAAGTTGTGCTGCGAGTACTGGATCGGACTCGCGCATTGATTGTAGCACTTTGATCGCTGTTCCTTGGTTCACGCAGTAATCCTGGCTGTGGTCTCAGGCTTCCGTAAGCTAAGAAGAACCCCAAGAGCTCACCATATAGACTCCCATATTCGACATATTGGACTCCAGAATGTCGCCTATGCGATCGATATAGAGACGACATTCCTTCTGCCTCTCCTCCAATGAGCTCAGGAAAGTCTGGGTGAAGGAGGTCTTAATACAATATGCATAGGAACTCGTAGACTGTACCGTGTTCGTCAACAAGATGTCCTCAACATTTGCAAAAATGACCGTAATAGCCTTCTTGTCAAGGATAGACAACAAGCTCGAATAGAAAATCTGACATATACTCAGCGTCACGCGGCTGGACAGAGACGTAGACGAACCTCGACTATGAGCTGTAGATCTCGAACGTAAGCTGCCTCGGTGGCAATCAATTCGAAGGTGGCCTGCATGACCATACTCAGGTATCCTCAATGTACGAGTAGTGACGATACTCACCTCCTGTCGCCGGCGTTCCCTTGCAGGCATTTCTTCAAGTGCTGTCTTATCCACAAGGCTCGACCATGACTTGATAAGTGTCAGGAGCCTTAATTGATAATAACAAGGACGGATACTCACGGATCCAAAAGATGAAGCGTTCTCCTGTTGGACGGGGGTTATGGGCCTGTCCATGATAGGTCCCGAGATGATGGGCATGCTGCGCCTATCCGAATCTTGACCGGGAGTCCTACGGCCTAAGAAGTGAAGCAAGTGTGAGTAGGAACGCCCTCCTTCTGTATCTCTGGACACAGTCCGTGATAACGTAGACACCGGTGACAAAGGAGGATGCGGGGAGGGTGAACCTGTTTCGAAAGAAGACGTCGAAAGGCGACTGGTGTGCCCTTTTCTCTGCTTGAATGCTTCGTATCGTTCGTAGGCATCGTCCAGTCTGATGACATTATCGTCCGTGTCGAGTGGCGGCGGTGGGGGAAGGTCCTTCTCCGACGACATGGACACCATTGACGACCTCTGAGGAATTGCTGGTGGGGGACGGCGACGTAGCGACTTCTTCCGAATAGGCTTTGGAGGTGCATGGTCGTCCTCCTTTACGACGAGACCGGCAGCTTCAAGAACTCTCTGTCGCTCGAGCTCTCTAGCTTCCCGTTCACGCCTTCGCACATCTTCAGTCCGCTCTGTATCCGAATCCCCCGAGTCCGAATTCGAGTCTGAGAATGATAAGTATTCGTCATCTGAGGAACCGTCAGGACTGTCTTCGGGATCTGATTGAGCTACGGGCGGGCCTCCTTTGTCAGAGTCCGCAGCTACTTCGGCGGGTTCCTTCGATTCAGTGGACTGCTTGATAGGAAATCGGTCATCTAAGGAATTGTAAATCCATTTGAAGCATGATTATATTCAAGGTAACATGAAATGTAAGAAAAAGGTATTTTAGCCTATATCCAGCCTTGAATGAGGACAGGAAGCACTCAGGGAACGATTGTGCGACTAACCCTCTATGACCTCCAGGTAAGCCGCGGGTACGATGAAGATAACGCCGCCCTGTTCAACCTTCCACCAATCTGCTTCACTCCTGTCTACGACGACTACTTCGTCGCCCTCAGCAAGGGGTAACTCGTCGGCACTTCCACCAGTGTACGCGTATAACGCCTTGGCTTTGACAACTGGAAAGGTCTTAGTAAGAGGATTCTAATTACAGTGTAGTAGACGTACCATTGTCGAGCACCTGGACGTACGTCTTCGGGAAAAATCCAGATGTTCCGTCGCGAACCAGAGTACCATACCACCAATCGCCACCACTCTTAGACGGATGGGCAGTAAGTACGAGGTTCTCCCCGAAACCTTTGTGAAAGCTCAATATTGCAGACCTAGAGGTAGTCTCAAAGGCCGACTTACTGAGATCCTCTGCTCTTTGCCCTTCGTATGCATAGAGAGCGCGAACACGATAGCCTACTCCTCAGTTAAACAGTGAGATTAAGACGTCACCAAGGGAAAGACTTACTAATGGTCTTATCAACGTCTTCCATGGGATCGCTTGCGGCCTGACCTTCTTCGGAGACGTGAATGTCAGGGATGCCAGCAGTTTCCTTTCCTACGACTTCGTACTCTTCCTCCTCTTCAACGGTAGGCGGTAGTTGCTCTTGATATGTTCCACCGTGTTCGGCCGCAAGACCAGCATACCAGTCCACCGATTGCCTATTACTCGAGCGCGAGTCCATCGATGACATAGTGGGCATAGCTGGTCCATCTGACTCCGGCTGCACAGGGGCAAGGGGCTCAGCGTCGGGCACAACAGACGGCGGAGAAGGTGCTCTTGGAGCAGCGTTAATGTGTTCCGGAGGTGCTGCATCACCTAGGACTCGTCCGCCGACCGGCGCTGAGCTACGGTCATTAGTAACTGCCTTACGGAGCCTTGCCCCGCCCTTGATAGCACTTAGTAAAGCGCTACGATCCCCTGATGGGGCAGGCGCTGATGGTGCTGCTGGTGCCGGAGAGGGAGCTGGTGCCATAGGAGCCGGAGGCGCCGGCGGGGCGGCTGGTGCCGGAGGGGCGGCTGGTGCCGGAGGGGCGGCGGGAGCTGGGGGTGGTGGCGGCGCAGGGGTCGATGGCTTCGGAGTGGCAGGGCCAGCAGACTCAGGCCTCGCAGGCGGCAAGATATTACCAAATAATTCTTGCGCCAGAGCACTTCTAGATTGACGGGATACTGCCATCTCATCGTCACTGCTGTCGTCGTCCTCCTTCTCTTGGACATCATCCCAGTCGCTATCATCTGAAGGAGCTGTATGGTATGTAGACTTCACTGGGACAGGAGTAGCACTCTTAGGCGGTGGTGACACGACCGGGGACGTTGGAGTAGGAGGAGCCGGAGGAGGAGCAGTCTGAGGCCTGAAGAACGGATTGGTGCTGCCGTTCCCAAGGCCCGGAGCAGGGCTAGCCCCTGACCCTTCCTTCATCATGCGACTAAACGGATTGGTGCCTGCCTTGGTGGGCGGGGAAGCCGGTGCAGGTGGTGGCGGGGGAGGGGGAGGGGGAGGGGGAGGAGCTAGCGAGGACACCTGCGGATCGGGCTCAGCTGAGGGAGCACTGGCAGCAGGGGCAGATGCCGGCGCAGGGGCCGCAGGCGGCGGAGACGCCGCACTCTCGGCGTTAAGGAATGCCTGCCTCCTAGCCTGATACTGTGCCTCTGCTTTACGAGCTTCTTCCTCCTCTTGTTCTAACTGCCGAATCCGAGCCAGGCGTTCCTCGCGCTGCTTGCGTAGAGCCTCTTCTCTTTCTTTCAGACGTTGCTCCTCAGGATCGACAGTCGGCTCAACTGGTAAGATCGCGACGGCTGGCGGGGGAGGCGGAGGAGCGGATACAGCTGGGGGTGCTGGAGGTGTTGGAGACACAGGCGCCGACGCTCGCGGGGTGACTGGAGGGCGGGGTGCGGCGCCCTTCCTAGGCGGCGGAGGTGCTGGAGCCCTCTTCGGCGCAGGGGGAGCAGGCGGCTTCGGTGTTGCGGCTGTCGGGGTGGGAGGTACAGGAGTAGATGGTGTCGCAGGAGTCTGGGGCGTCGCACGCCCTTCTTTCAATGCCTTCTCGCTCTCTAGACGCTCTCTCCTAAGCCGCTCTCTCTCTTCCGCGAGTCTCTCCGCTTCCTTTGACTTTTCTTCCGCCTCTTTCTTCTCCTGAGCTAAGCGATCAGCAACGCTGGTATCTATAGACTTGGTGCCAGCACCGGTAGGAGCCACGCCCAGTGCAGCCATACGTTCCTGCATACGCCGCTGGGCTTCTTGACGAATGAATTCCTTCCTCTCCTCAGGGGTCATATGTTTGGTACCCGGAGCCGGAGACGCACTGGGAGCTGGCGGTGGTGGCTTGCTGAGCGTAGTCGATGGAGCAACAGGGGGAGGAGGTGGAGGCGAGCGAGCGGCAGGTGGACTTCGAGGTCGGTCGTACTCCCTATCCCGACGCTCGTACGATGCTTCGCGGGGGCGGGAGCGATCCCTGTCGTAATCTCGATCTCTGCTGTATTCCCTGTCCCTTCCTCTGTCATACGAGCTCGTATAACGCCCGCGGTCACGGTCCGACGCTTCGTCGTACCTCCTCGAAGACGAATACGTATCGTCGCGATCGTCATAGCGTCCGAACCTGTCATTTCTACGATCGCGCTCGCGCGCCCAGTCTCGTTTCTCCCTTTCTTTGCGTTCTTCCCGGTCTTTTATTTTCCGCTCGACTTCGGGCACACGCTCGTGCATCAACTTCAAGAGCTCTCGCTCTAACCTCCTCCGCTCCTCGTCCTTAGCAGGTGACCTGGGTGGTCTGGACACGTAGTCCAAGTCTTCCTGCACGCGTTTCACGCGATACTTCAGATCAGACAATTCCCGCTCCAGCGCTTCGTCTTCGGCAGTACGAGACGCATTCTCTTCAGCAGCGCGGTCGAGCATCTTGGCTGTGTTGTCAAGTTGCCGCTTGATGTCCGACAGATCATCGGCGGGGCTCTCATTCCCTACGCGCACAGCATCGCGGTCGAGATGGCGAGAGCGTGGCTGATAGAAACGACCCGGCTCAGGATCTTGGTGTCTGTATACAGTAGCATCCTGTCGTCCACCCGCCCCAGGAGCGCCGGAGCTGGTGAAGGATCGCTCCTTTAGCCTAGAAACCGGCGTGTCAAGACCGGAGGGAGAGCGTGCACGAGTCTCATCCTTCAGTACACGCTTGAGGAAGTCCACAGAGTCGTCGAGATCACGATGTGAAGGCGGGACTAGTTCAGGAGGGAGTTCGTCCGGTATGGGGTTGCCGTTTAATCCTTGTATGAGATGGTCAGTACATGAGGTGCAGGGATATGAGAACAGGTAACACGTACGACGATATATCAAGCCCATGGCAACATGGAACTCCTGAATATTCAGCTTCCCTCTATTATCAGCGTCGGCAAGAGTCCTGCGAGCACAGAATAAATCCTCCGTATAGCACGAAACTTGTCAACGTACCATATGCGAGCCAAATCATTATTGTCCAGTCCACTCTGGCTGAAAATCTCCCGAGCGGTTTGGCCGTCGATGAACCCAGTGCCCTTAGCATCCCATGCCCGGAACATCTGATCGTAACTCTTCTTCTCCGCCTTCGACAATGTCCAAGGCATCTTCAGCGCCGTCGTGCCCTTGGTCTCCTCATTAAACTGCTGGATTGACTGTACCAGTGAGGGCGCACCCATTTGCTGCGGCTGCGGCGGAAGCTGAGGCATCCCACCGGCGCCATACGGAGCTGATGGATTGACTGGCATGAACGAGCTGGACATCATCTGCAGTCGAGGGTCTATATAGCCCGTCATCTGCGGCATGAGAGGGGCCGCCGGCGGAGGCATACCGCCAGGACCTCCGCCGCGACCCAGTCCTGTAAAGTTACCACCCGCACCAGGGAACCCAGTTGGTTGTGGTTGAAGACTGGATGGTAGGAAACGACTTGGCTGCTGCTGCTGCTGCTGTCCAGGCGGACCCAGAAAGCTCGGACCTTGATTCTGTTGCTGGAATTGTGAGGGAAGAGGAGGAACCGGCGGTGCTGGAGAGCGCTGCTGGAAGTTACTGCCTAGACCTTGAAACCCTGTCTGTTGCGGCTGCTGAAATCCAGTTTGCTGCGGCTGCTGGAATCCAGTCGGCTGAGGCTGCTGAAAGCCTGGCGCACCGGGAAATCCTGTTTGCTGTGGTTGCAGATACCCTCCCGGACGTTGACCTGGGAAACCCGTAGGCTGGGGAGCGAGCCCTCCTTGCTGGAACCCCTGCTGAAGCTGAGGATTCATCCCTGTTTGCATCGGGTATTGGAACCCTGGTTGACCCCATTGCGACATTGCGCTCGACGTCGCGCACGTCGCCGAGGATGGATGGTGTTATGACAAGAATATTATCCGAATATATCCAGTAGACGTCACGGCCGTACTGTCTTTTAGGTAATATTTATTTAGTTATTGCTGGTTTAATATTTATTCAATAAATAAAGTCCCAACAGAGTATTGTGAAATATCGCCCAAGCATGCCTCGATTTCACTGCAACTTCAAGCCACCATGTCCTCAGGTAATCTATCTTTTCACAGATTTTGGTGATAGATAATTCATGTTGCTCTCAACCTCCGTGGAACGGCTGGGATGGGCTTTACCCACTAACAGGTCTGCTCCCATAACAGGCCCTTGTGCTACTGAGTCCTGCTTAAAGCTACTCAGTAATAAAACTTACGCGACTTTCCGGGTATACCGCATGTCCCGTTCCTTGTCGTTGGAAGACGTAGTTTCGTAGGACGCGCCCCGGTCCAAACACTATGGGAACGAGGACGCTATCATGGCATCGTCTTTGACTTGAAGACTGAAGGAATCCTTGACTCTGGGGCAAAGCTTGAAGTACCCTGGACGAGAATGAAACGCTGCGCGCTACCCAAGCGTTGCTATCCTGCCCAGGCCTGAACCTTGCTAAACGTACGACAGATCAAGGTGAAGTGAGTCATCCCATACCGCGTCGCCTATTCCTGGCGCCTCTCCGCCAGTGGTCTGGAATGTTGATGTCGAGGGTAAGTACTCACAAAGTCGTGGCGGCTAGCAAAGTGAGCTTTCAGAAGCTCGTATATACATCGGGTGCTTGTGCGGTCTTCGACCGCTCAGACCTAGTGGGTGTCGATGAGTCGATACCGGACCCTAAGAACCCTATGGATGCCTACAACAAAACCAATGCGATCACAGAGAATATTGTGCTGGACGCAGGTGGCGGGAAAGGATGAAGACTGTAGCGCTACGACCCGCGGGGATCTTTGGGTGAGCCCCTCGATGTCTCATAGAAGAAACAGAGAACTCAAATGAATACGCGGCCTGCTAGGCTATGTAGTCGAAGGGACTATCAGACCATTTGTAGTTTTACAATTCATGCCCGAAGGGAAGGCCATCACAGAAATAGGGAATGACCCGAATCTCTTCGACATCATATACGTTGACAATATTGCGGGATATGGCCACGCTCTTGTCGCGCCAAAGCCGTCTGATCCCAGAAGACGATCCTAGGCCATCCTGGACCCTCGCTCGTGCCGTCTGGAAGGCATTTGGGCATGTGGCCTTGGGGACGACCGCCCATCGCAGGCCAGTCGCCATGATGATCACTGGGATTTTTTAACTTCGTGTTAGGTGTCGCGCAGACCTGTGTTTATCACTAGCTTCCGAGTCCAACACGCTTGCAGAACGAGGTGGTTCAATACACTTGTCTGCAAAGCGAAACGCCTTCTCGATTACGATCCCCTCGTATTCCATCAGTGAGGACTCGCTTATTCCCCATGCAGCACTTCCATATGCTCCATTTTGCCGGCAAGAAGTCAATTCAGTGTACTTACTACGCGTATCCACTTCCAACCTCGTCCACTACCGCAAGCTCCCTCACGCCACACTTCCGACTGCCTTAAGGAGCTCAGCACACTTCTCTGCCACCATCACCACCGGAGCCATGGTATGCGTGGCGATAATCTCCGGAAAGACAGACGCGTCACATACTCGGAGTCCACCCACGCCATGCACTCGCAACTCCGCGTCGACCACGCCTGGTCGGACGGAGTCCTGGTGGGGGCCCATAGCACAAGTTCCGCAGAAATGGTAACAGGTGCGCAAGTTCCAGCGCACATGGTTATCCAGGTCCGCCTCGTTTTCACTTGCGGGAACTTTCAAGTTCTTGAGGGGGTAACCAGCCGCTCGCATATGGTCCGCCAGGCGCAACGCAAGCTTCAAGGCTTTACGCATCGGCTCGTAATCGGCAGGATTAGTGAGGTAGCCAAGTTGAACACGAGGGTGGCTGTATGGGTCATTCGAGGACAGCCTGACTGAGCCCACCGACTGAGGGCGTAGAAGTGACGTTAAGAAAGAAAATATTGCGGTGTTTGGTATCACCTCGTCTGAGCAGTTTGAGGCGACAGGCATCACTTCGATATCAGGCCTGTTGTCGGGAACATTCGGGTTGAGCTGTGGCGCTGTATGCGCCACGGCTTCCGTGTTACTGTTCAAAAATGAAGACTTGGCGAAGACAGTCAGCTGTAGGAAAGACGCTGTAAAGAGCCCGGCGCCGAAGAGTACATATTTGAGAAACTCGATTATAGCACGCAGAGGATTCAGTTCCAGGCCATGAACAGAATCTGCCGGCGGGACCTGATACATTACAGGAACGCCCAGGTGGTCTTGCTGGGGAATGGTGAGCAATGACGTTGTCCACATCCTAGCCATGACTCACCAAGCGGCTGCCAACACCCGGCAGGTCCTTGACTACTGAGATATCGTGTTCTTCCAGGTGAACCTTCGGTCCGATACCGCTACGAGAAGCAAGAAATCACACTCTTGCATGGACCATGTTTGGCGCGCGGACTCACCTCAGCATAAGTATCTGAGGGGACACAAGTGCCCCACAGCACAAAACAACTTCCTTCCGAGCTGACGCATAGAATGTCTCACGTGGGGCAGCTTCCTTCATCGACTCAAAGTATACGCCTTTCGCTACGAGCCCGTCACCAGCGCAGTCTGAGATGTTGACACGGGTAACGGTCGCATGAGTACAGATTTTCAAGGAGGACTTGCGCGCCAACGCCAACGATAGGGGCAGAAATGTCCGATACGTGGATTCGCGATGCATCTGGCGATCCAACACTATATCCATTGTGCTGACACCGACAGGAGGAGCGGTCGGTGAATTGACATCGTCGATGATAGGCAAGCCCAATTTCACAGCCGCATCGCGAGCTCTGATATATGACATCCCAGACGGTTGCCGCATGAGTAGTCGAATTACTTACACTTCGAACACTTTGTACGGCAGCGACGGTTTTTGTGTCAGCCAAGGACCTTCCGCAATACGCATTAGCGAAGATGTGCGGGACAGGGTGCAGAGCACATCTACCAGTATGTCCTCGATATGGCGCCTTTGCATGCATTAGAGAGGTTTCAGACTTGATGAAGTACGGCTCGACATCGTCGTATGCCCAGCCAACATTTCCAAGCTCTTCCCAGCGGTTGTAATCGGCGGGCGAACCGCGAGTATACACCATTCCATTTATACGAGACTTTCCGCCCAAGACTTCTGCTTCCAGTATTGTCAGGGAGCTATTGTTTGCTTCTGCTAACGGTTCTGAGGGCCACCTCACGCTGCCACAGCCTTTTCGAAAGTGATTGCTGGACAGTAATGGAACCCGTGAATCCCATGCGTCATCCACTCCGCCACGCTCAATGAGAAGTACGGTCGAGCTGCCATCCTCTGACAAGCGAGACGCCAGGACGCATCCAGCAGTACCTCCTACGACATGTGAGACAAATGTAGACCACACATCGAAGACTGACATACCTCCTACAATGATATAGTCGTAGCTGGCGAGCGCTATTTCGGGTTTTGCAACGGAAGACGAGACCCCAGCTTCTGCAGCACCGTACTCCGGATATTCCTTGTTGAACGGCCACATAGCATGTACTTTAACAGCTTTGGCCGCTAAAGTGGCGTTGAGCTGAGTAGAAATCCTCTAAAAACAGGATACACCGGCGAAATCATGATGAACGTCGATTAAATCATAATTTAGTGGTTATGGGCGCGGTCTCTTACACCTCCGAAGTGCCCGAGGTGGGTCCGCTGCCTTCCTCGGGATGTTTCAAGGCCTCAGAGCGACGGCGACTCATGGGGATTGGTCATTTCGGCGTGCGTTTCAGCATGACTATGGCTTGCAGATTGTCGCGGTGATTTGTCTCCGGCGCTGAGTCCCGGGAATCTTCATCACCCCTCGTTAGAGCTACGCAGGCACTACCAATATATCAGAACGGCGGACCCACTGACTCAGTGACTGAGCAATAGTCGCAAACACCACCGAGAACGCCGGCGAGACCGCGGTTGACACGTGGAACAATCCAGATCCCGAGCTAAGTGGTCGAAGGAACGATGGAGAAGAGCAGCGTTGACGTGAAGATAAAGTAAACAGCAAACGCATAATCTATATTTATTGCCGCTTCACGATTGTTGCGTATTGCCTTGAGTTGAGGGAGATATCAAGCCAGAAAAATCTACGGCACGTCCATGGAATCACGCAAAACCCTGAGAGCATTGATCGCAAAAGCAGTCGTCAGCCCATCGTTGGCAATGAGAATCCCAGACGACCCATATCTGTAGAACCACCCTGGTCCCCAATGCCCTTCCGCGTGCTGCATTGCTCGCAGCGTGCGTCCATCAACTTCGTTTATTATCCCCACCGACGCGCATGCCAGGATACGCATGGCCAACGCCAAGGGGTCTCCCTTGCAGCCTATGCGTTCCATGAGTCTGTCGCGCAAGAGATCGCTGAAACGGTCTCGGAGGTCTTTGGCGCAAGCAAGGAACCGGCTGAAGAAGTAGAGGAAGGTCTCCGCCGTGGCGTAATATCGAGTGCCGTTGGCGAATGTACGGTCCGATAGGGTATCGTGGACCCATTCCAATGTAGCCTCGATGCGAGGATCTGATCCTCTGCCGAAGTAGTAGAATGCAGTCAGGACGTTTAGGCAGACTACGGGGTCTGTGCGAGGCCGATCATGGTCAAAATACACCTGCAGCGACGATTGATTGATGATATGGTAATCGGCCAAAGCCTGAACGTACTTGAATGATCCCATTCGAATTTCGGTATGTCAACATCTCATCCAGGACTGAATGCGCGATTGCTATGTCATAATCATCCGCGACCGTCATATAAATAGACGTGGTATCGACGTCACAAGGAAAGAATTTTGTTGTGAGCATCCCGTCGCCTGCCGTTGATTAGCCAAGATTGTCCTGGAGCCAATGGTCAACCGTGATTACCTTGGAAAAAATTCGCCAAGCGGGGATAGGACACATAACTTATCAGTTGACTAGAATGCGTACTTGTGAGTATATCGAAATGCAGCTTATGGACTGCCGAACCTGTCATGTGTTTGCTCTAGTATCAAAATTTGTGCAAAGTTCTCTCGTACAATGGCACCCGAGCTGGTATACGAGACGAGCGATCTCGCATTGCGCCTAAGGTAAAGCTCTGCTTTGGCAATAGGATCGTCGAAACGATTGCGTACCCGCTGGATACCAGCGGCGGAGTCTCCATCAAGAACAGAAGCCATGAGTAAGATGTTGCTGTGAGTGGGAGGTTGTGACACGCACGATTGGGGGCCCAGCAATCGCAAAAGCAGGTGTCTCTTTAGTACTTCTACGGCAATCAACGTACCCGTGTACTCTATCTCTGTGGAGAGAACTGGAGAAGAGAGATAGTTCTTAAAGGTCCCGGATGTGCCAGTCCGGTACGCCATGCCCACCGAGGTTCGAATGAGGGTGGTCAAACGAAAGCATCAGACGCACCCACCATCCTGGGAGCGTGTCGCCGGCATGTGGTTATTTCCTATCGTGCACTAGCACAGACGATGGCACCCTGGAACTCGACGTTTTGCAAGCAGATCGGAAAGGTTGATAAGCGGTTCCTTGGACCCACTTGGACCTACACGAAAGATACTGCTCACATGTATATCAGCAACCGGTCGTCCCTGGGCGCATCGAAGAGCATAATATGCAACCACTCACTTCCAATTGGACAGCTGTGAGGGACATTCCTGGCTTGCTGTGAGTGTTTGGTTATCATGAAGTAGCCGCTCACTTTCCAGTGCGCTGAAATTGATTGCTCGGACATCCGATGGGTTTGTGGATGGTTAGTGCTTCCTAAGCGGAGGCACTGAGATAAGCCATTTTCTGTGGAAGCTCCGCGTCGGGTTCACCACCAGGTCCCATCGCAGAAGGATCCCTGTCTCGCCCTTTCTTGCCTTCTGAATGTCCAGCTAAGAAGAGATTCGGAGTGGAGTGTTTCGGCAGAAGTATTTCTGCATCGATTGGTGCGGTTCGGTCTCATGGTAGCTTGTCAAGGGAGGCGAGCGAAATGCAGGTGACAGCATGCGCGGCAGCCCGTGCGATCGTGTCCGTCGTGGACGCGATATCGATGGCGCCAACCCCAGACCATAACCATCGTCGCCGTGGCTCGACTATCTCTTCTTTCTCAGTATTTTTTCACCATGGATTGAACGAAAGGACGAGCGACGGGAGGTAGTTAAGAATTGAGCAGATATACTATAGAAGGTGCTAAGTTGCCCTAAGTAGAAGGCCTTTCCAAACGCGTGACATGACCGTGACCAGACGCGTCGCAGGTGTGGCATTACCTTTGTTCGCTCCTGCATCTTCGTTCTTCTGTTGTCCCTCCGCGGTCATGCCGGCGCTACCAGACGAGATTGTACTTGAGATTTTGAAGCCTGTCTTGGGCGTCGCGGACGATGTCTTCTGCGACGTAGGCCCTTCAGCTTTCGATTTTCGCGCTCAGATTTCTACCTCTGCTTTGCTCCTCGTCTGCAAGCAATGGCTGAGGGTTAGCACTCCTCTTCTGTTCGAAGTCGTTATACTGCGATCCAGTGGGCAGGCAAAAGCTCTCGCGCGTGTGTTGAAAGCGAACAAACATTTCGGCGGGTTCATACGTATGCTCAGGGTAGAGGGAGGCTTCGGAAAGGCCCTGGAGACGATCATATCTGCGGCGCCTAAGATCCAGGACTTGTACTTGACCTTCTCTATATCTTCGAGTGACAATGTTCAAGGTCTATGCAATTCGTTACCTTCTACGAATCCCCGCCGACTCATAGTACATGAAAGCGCAGAGTGCTTGAGCGGTGGCAAGCATGCCCTGGACAATGCGAAGACCAGGGATTTGACTGCTACCGTCTGTGCTTGCATCAGGAAGAATTGGACGAATTTGGTATGAAGATGCTCTATTTCTTTAAGCGATCATTCACGTTGAAACCTCGGCCTACAGCGTGTTTGTCATATACCTGACGAAGGGGGTACTCAAGCAACGATAAATAGGGTGAATGCGTTATCGGCCGCTCTCCGGCACGCGTCGAATCTGGAGACAGTAGTGATCCCCTATGCCCCGATGTCTCACATCACTCATAACATCCTCGAGGGTTTTGCTGCCAACCCTAATCTGAAAACGGTTCGCCTTCTTGCGACCCACGACGAAGTTGCAGGGACCTACTTCTTCACTTTTCTTAATCGCATGCCGCATATAGACAAGCTCATCATGTACCAAGAGCCGCCGTGAGTCTCGGTCTACCGATCTTTAGTTTATATACTTATGCCCTGCAGGCCACAAGATGCCTTGAAGAAGCAAAATGCGAAAGATATATCGCGGGTACTAACCAATTCGTATGTCTGCCTCGCTGCCTCTCCGCGAGTAGTACGGGCACATATCTGGTCCCGTGTTCTTGCCTTGGCAATGGACGCGGACAATGACGGATGTCATATCGAGCGAACACGTCAGATGCGCTCAAAAGCGAAACCCAGCCGCGGACGACTGCATTTCCTGCTTATCTGCAAGGAACTCTATGTTCGTGCATTCCTTATGAGACTACCACGTAATCCACAACTTGTCCTTGCAGGAACTAGCACTTCCTTTACTATATCGCTCACCAGCTGTCGACACGTTCGATGGCCTCCAGTCACTGTCTAACAGACTTTCGGAGCAACCGTCACTAGGATGCGAGATCCGCGTGCTCGTCCTCAATCGCTGTATCACGGACAATTTTTGGCCGCTGCTTGAGGAGGAATCGGATCACGATGTCTCCGACGTCCACCCGTTGGTCAAAAATATTCTGTCCAAAACGCCGAATCTTCAGCAACTTGTCACGAACCGTCGTGCGTTATTTGACAGGGCCCCTTTCCTCATGGACTGGTCGGTGTGGGAAACCCTGACCAACGTTCCCGGGGCATCCTTAAAAACGTTATCTGGCTTCCAGGTCAAGGGTGAGGGCAAGAAAACGTTGTCCATCTTCAACAACTTGACAGCTATTCGATCCCTGGAATGGTTCGACAGGACAGTTTTCCGCCGGGGCAACGCGGTTTCACCGACCTGTCTCTCATTGCTCGAGGAGTTGAGACTAAAAGAGTATGACGACAGCCTTCTCAGCCAATTGACGAGAATCAGGTCAGTGCTGGCTTCGTTAAACATTGTTGCCACCATTCACAAAAGCGCTGTGGTTGTCTTCGCCATGCAGCTTGCCATCGTTACGGATTGCAGCATTCGCAGACTATCAATTTGGGAAAACCCCTCAGTCGCTACGACCCTTCCTTGCCAAGCACGGGTCAAAGTTACAGCGTCTCGAGTTCCTTTCTGGCTGTCTCAATATCGCATCGCTATTTAATTTATGCCCTAACGTGACAGAGTTTTTGGTCGATATGGACGTAGCGTCGTCGGTGTCCTCGGTAAAGCGCCCGATCCATTTTTGCTAGCAATATCTCTGACTACGTCTGCCAGGCCGATATCACGGTCTTGCTGTCACACCTACACGATGGGGAGTCTGCCAAGTTGAGAAAGATAATCATCGAGTGCTCAACGTACGCCGTTCTCGATAGACATGTCTATGTTATTCACCGCATCGCACAGCTCGAGTTTCCGAGTCTACGATGACGTCGCGTCAACAGGAGCGGGTGCATCGCAAGTATTTGGAATCTGGGGTTCATTCTTCGACAGCTTGGACCTCAGCTCCCTGCCTGCGTTGGAAGAAATCCAGATTATGCGCAGTCTTTGGCCCTCCAATCAGTATGTTTGCTACCAGTCATCAGCTCTCCCGTTCGAATTGATCACGCTTACTCTTGCTAGGCGCGCGTACGCGAAGAATCCTTGGATAAAATGGGACGCGGACTTGAGAAAGCAATGGAATGTGGCCCTTTTAGATGCAAAAGGCAAAGGATGGACAGCACGGATCAAGTGAAGAGTAGGGAGAATCGTGAATTAACGAGTTGAGCTCAATGTTCACTATGACACATTATGGGATTAACACGTCCCTGCGGACATCCCGACACCTTCTAAATCCGTTTCACAGCGCAAAATTGTGGAACAAAATTCACAGATACACCCGCATGATCTGAGGTTCTAATGTCAGCAGCGGCGGTCTTTCATTGTGTTAGAGTGGGCCCTCAGCTCATGGGTAACCTGTAACATGGAAAGAAGTACCTCTCTTGAGATAGTACCTGATATCCTCAGGCACGTAGGCAAAGGCCATTCGGCAAAGCATCGAAGCGCCCGGCTCCGAGTCTTACTATCATCTTTTCTGAAGATGGATCCATTCCGCACACACTGACACCATTAAGGCAAATGTTGATTAGAGCAGATATCAATACATTTATCACGAAAACAACACCTCCGACATACATATCTGGTATACAGTTCAGGACGTAGCCGATCTCGCAGAGCTCAGCTGGACTTAGGCGCCCGGAGCTTGGGAATATACTCATGCGCCTTGCCCAACATCCACACCGTAAAGATATGCTTAAAGTTCGGGTACGTGATCATGCAGTTCTTGTTGAACACACCCTCAATCGCTTCCTGAGGCCAGGATCCATCCTAACACCAGATAAACATCAGTCACAGTGTAAAGAATGTTGGCTGTGTAACGCACGGGTCTCTGGCGAGACATCACGAGGTGCACAGCTTTCTCAATGGGCACGGGGTCGGGGTATTGGGCGTACATGAGCGCCATGGCAGCCCACGACGTCTGCACGACCTGAGTATTTTTATGCTCCACCCATTTCTCAAGTTCGCATGACTGAATAGCGAGGATCGTTAGGCATTAATAAGGCATTGCAAGAACAAAAAACACGAGTACCTTGTAACTTTCGCCCCATCCGCCATCCGCTCTCTGTTTCGAGATGAGGAATGTACACGCGCGTTGCACGGCCTCGCTGTTCGCGTACGTCTCTCCCACGAGCGACAGACTCTCCAGAGCGAACAGCGTCGCGTATGTGAAGCAGATGCCCCATGAGCCGTACCATCCACCCTCCGGCCGCTGAGCGGCGTGTAAGTACTTGATAGCGCCTTTGATACAACGCCTAGAATCGCTGTCAGAATGAGATATAAAGGCAGGACGCCGCAAACGTACTTTATGTCGTTCTTGCGGTAGTCGGGATAGTACTTTTGGAAGATGCTCAACGCTGTGATCACAGACGTCGTGCATTCAGGGTACGTGTATTCAGTCATGATATTACCTTAAACACGTAACGTTCAGCTTCACTCAGCCGAGATACGGAACAGAATACTGACCAAAGACTTCCGCAGGGTTGATCAACTCCAGCAGATGCGTAGCCCGAATATCCTCATAACTCGCAAATCCACCGTTCGAGCATTGCATGTCCAACATAAGGTCCACAGCGTCGAAAATCCGCCGATCTGAGACAGGCTTTGGCGCATCTCTGTGGAGCAGAAATTAGTCTGATACAATATCCGCACCGCTGACGAAGGACGTACGTCCAACGATTCTGTAAATACAAAACCGCCTTGAGCGCTTCACCCGTACAATCCGACAACGTATATCCCTGCTCCTTCGTGCTGAAACCCCACGCACCCTTGGTACGCTGCCGATACGCTTCCTTGTAATACTTCGGATTCTCCGTCATCTGGCTCTCGTCGATCCACTTCAGGGCTCTCAACACGCTCTCCCGGTTTTCTTCCAAGTCCGCCAGGCCCGTCTCGACGAGCGCCTGCGCCATGAACGCCGTGTCCCAGAGCTGGCTCCCGTTCGTACCGCAGACGAGCAGCCCCTCGGCCGACATCCACATCACGTCCGCGCGCTTCAGAGCGTGCTGCTTCATCGCCTCGCTGTCCGGCCCGTCGGCGTGGAAGCGGCACACCATCTGCATCATCTTGTTCACGGGCGCAAGGTCTTGGTACGCGGTGTTCTCGTCTTCCATGCAGATGAGCTCGTACGCGCGCTTCAGGGCGAGCTTGTGTAGCGGCGGGAGCGGGCAGGCTTCGAGGGTGTTGGACATCACTGCGTTGAGTGCGTCCAAAAGCAGGCTGTGCGGGGTATACAAGTCCACCTTAGCGATGTTATTGCGCTGGGCGGGCCAATCGATGGTGTCATACGGCTGTACGTAGATTTCCTGGAGTCATGTCAGCCAAGAAACTATACAGAAGGCCAGGACGCTTACCTCTCGTAGTGCTCGCACAATTGGCGTCTCGGGCCCTTGGAATTTTACTCTATACAGGTATCCCATGGGTAGGTATACAGCCCGGGTATGGATCCACCATCTGTGCGGGTGAATCGGGAGCCAGTCAGGCAGCAACCTAGGGTTGGTTGAGCGTCTTGAGGCGTTGGACGTATAATATACAAGACGTACCAAAGCTCTGGAGGGACTGGGTTGTTGCCATCCCATGAATAGACATTCAATACTGTCAGCCAGAATTTGCCCCACGAAGGTGCAGCGACGGCGCCACCTGGCGACCGTAAATACGAGCAAAGGAAATAACACGGAGAACTCACCATGTCGGTGTAGGGTAGCTCTGGCCTTCACCAAAGCAGGGTGCTCTCTATCTACTCCCAGCAAGCGAAGGGTGCAGTAGTTGAGAGCCGTGCCGAAGACCGTAGAATCGCTCTCGACGTGACTGCACATAATATTAGTAGAAACACTTGACTGCCACCATAGCAAACTCACATGCCCCATCCACCGTCTTCTGGATGCGCGCGGTTGAGCAAGTACCGGATCATTTCAAGCCGTTCCTCCTCCTCGAACCAAAGCCCAGTAACGTAGGAAGCTATCACGAGGCCAGGTAGCAGGAACATCGGTCCTCCATATTCGCCTGGCCAGTGACCGTCCGGTGCTTGCAGTCGCTTGAAGAACTCGTACCCGTTAACAGCTGCCGATCGAGCATCCTTGGCTGGAGGGAGAGTGCGTGCATCCTGCAGTATGCTCATCATCCTCTGCGCAACATGGAAGTGTATCCAACATACCACAGGGAGTCCAAGCCAGTACCGGTCGATATCCGTCTGGGGCCACCGCTCAACCTCCTCATCTGTGCGCAGGTACTTCCAGGTATGCCTTCCGCCTTTGCCGTTCACGAGTCTCCATCGTGTATAGTCCGTGAACGGCTTGCTGGGGTCCGTCGGAATCGATCCAGAGGGCGTTGGAAAGGGCGCCATTGCGTCTGGCCACGTATACGAAGAGCGTATTTAAGTCGGACTGGCATTTTCAGGGTATGAGGCCACTGTCAGATTACGTACCGAGCTTTACATAGCCGCGACTGTCTAAGTGTGGGAAAGACGCGGTGGACTTCGCACGTGATAAAATGTTTCACTGAAACTTGACATCTCCGTTTCACTTTGCTTGGGAGCAGTGACTCCAAACGAATTGCCGCAGGTGAAGATAGCTATCATAGGCCAGGAGATCACAGAACACCCGTATGTGTTTGTCGTGCAGTCGGGGGAGAACGGCGTCATCCTGAGACATTGGAGGCAGGCAAGGCATTCTCGCACAATGGCCTCGCCATGACAGATGATGGTGGTGGGAGGAAGAGATAGGGCACCAAGGCAAGAGGCAATGTCCCTCTATATTAATTATCATAGACTGACGGAATGTCAAAATCAAACATAGCCAAATGCGGTATCCCTCCTTCCGCAAAAGGGTAATACGCCCTTGACCATCGAGGCATCGTCCCCCTTGTCAATGGAGGAAATGCTGCAAGTCCCACGATAATCTCGTATGATTATGATACGCAGCTAATTTTTTCCGTTTAACGCTCGCATTCGAATGATGCTAGAATAACGACTGTACGGATGGAGCCTGTCGAAAACGAAGTACGCCTGAAGAGGACATACCAGCTCATGTGTATCTCTGAGGGGAATCGGCTACAGCATGCCTGACAACGTCGATCTCTACCTCTTTGCCGAGACGAGCACTTCTGGGAAAGGTCCTTTATATTCTCTCAGATTTTCCCGCCCCTTCACTTAACCACAGTGTAGGGAAGCTCATGAAAAGCTTAGAAAAGGTGGATATACTTACTAAATGGCTCACCTTTGCCACACTGCTTACCCGATCTTCCGGGAACACGTTCGGTTCGTACCCCAGTCGCCTCCTCGCCCTCTCAACGCTGTGCCACGCGACCATTGCGTATAAGACAGCATATCGAGTCAGGACGGCTTTGAACCTGTCTCTCCGCACAGCTTGAAGACCCAGGCCGTTGCCGCATGCATGGTGATGCTCCTCGGCATCTCAACCGCTTTACTATTGAGAGTTCCTTCCGCACCAGTTGCAGCAAGTCCCAATACCTGAAATGCCGCCCGTCTGCACTCAAGGGAGCTCCGCCATTGACAGCGACACCCCGAACCGCCGGACTATAGGTAGGCATCTGCCACATTGCCCAATACACTGTCGTATCGCGAGCCTTTGACTGTCCCCTAGTTGGACACGAGTCTGGCCATCACGAGCGGCCTTCACGAGCCCGTGAACGACGTCCCGATCGTCAGACTTTGGTAACGGTAAATTCGAGAGGTACGGGCTCCGTATATACCCGTGGCGCATAGACGGAAGGTGACTGAGACCATCGTCTCCCCCCTTGGCTTTCGTCTCATGGTACGCATCAAATCCTTCCTAGGAATTGATACGGTGTGATACACCCCGCTCGGCTGTTTCCCAGCGTAGACTGCCGCGGTGCTGCTCCTCGCATGCACAGGCATGTCCGCAAGGGAAAGCAAACTCTGCCTGCCCTCGCGGTGGACGTCCCAGTATATTTCGTATCACTGGCTGTGTATGTGCGACGCGGTGTGTATAATGCGATCAGGAGAGCATTACAGCGAGATATTAAGTGACCTGCGCACCCTCAAGATAGCGGTCGACACTGCTTATTTGTCAGTAAAATATCTTTCGAAGACTTGCACCCTTGGCCATGTACCATATCAAACACCGTAGATCCACTCACGATATTCCTTTGCAAAAACATATCGCAGAACGCACCGGCCGATGAAGTCTATTAGGGCATGCGAGACGGCAGCCTGGGACACTGTGCGGCGTCGCTCGTACCGACAGCGCCAAATACACCACTGCGTCTCATGTACGACTACTGGTCGTCATAAGTCCGTTAACGCGGAAAGGTGCATATATGTAAAGGTCCTGTAAATTGAGTACGATTGGACGATTGACAAAGACCGAGGACGTACAGACTTCTTCGGGAACGAAACCTTTTTGGAAAGGAATGAACATATTATGTCGGAATGCGGAAATACGACAGTCAGTACATCGCAGACCTGGTTCGGCTTGGAGAAGGATGGACACTGTAGCCCGCGCAGAGACGGGGATATTGGTCAACCTACCAACATTTTCGAGCATATTCCGCATTCTGGACCAAGGCATGGTTCTCATAATAAGCAATTATCTGAATAACGAAAATAACAAGCACAGACAAATGTCCACAGGGACGGCTTGACCTTACGTTTGACCTTGGCGTGGCTATATATATGGAAGATTTCAGACATACTCAGCTTCGGCGACCAAACACTTTGTATCATCCAAGAGCTGGTTCTCATGATAAGCAATTATCTGAATAACGAAAATAACAAGCACAGACAAATGTCCACAGGGACGGCTTGACCTAACGTTTGACCTTGACATGGCTATATATATGGAAGATTTGAGACATACTCAGCTTCGGCGACCAAACACTTTGTATCATCCAAGAGCAGGCTCAGTTAACCGCGACATTCACGACCCTTCCCTCACACGTTCTCAAGTTTGCACGCTGAAACGGACTTAGGATCAGGCAAATGTCGTATAACAAAGTGGGGATGCCCGTAGATTCATAATGTATGATTGTGAGCCTTGAGCCGGCTCACTAGTTTGCGATTTGCCGTACCGTAGGGCTTCACTTGATTCGTGCCGTCCATCCTCTGCCATACTCATCCAAAAGGCCCACATCCCATCGCCTTTTCAACTCTGAGTCCCACTTTATCCACGGATTCTTCGCATATGCACGCCTGGGCATAGCCCCTTGGATTAGTACGGGTATGACTCAGACAGGACTCCGCACTACAGGCGACACCTACTGATTCGTGGGCCAAAGACTGGATGTAATCTGGATACCTTCCAGTGCTGGCAGCGAGCTCAAGTCTAGCTCAGCAAAGAATGGAGCCCATACTTGGATCACTTGCGATGCGCCTGCCCCTGATGACACGATGTTGCAATAAGGAGCGCGTCTGAAGCTACGGTGGACACACTGAACACCGTTGAACATGAGTGTTAGGAGCAACTCACTTTTCGTCCTGGATAATCATTGCTCTCAATTTGCTAGATCCTCCACCGTGTATGAGGGAGATCAACGCGCCCGCCTGGCAGATGTAGTCAGAGGACTATCGCGATACTTCGACTCAGGCGGATTACCGAGAAGTCCGGCCGCAAGCAATTAGTCTTGATTACGAGCCGTATCAGGTTGGGACACCATTTGAACAAGGAACGGATCTTCAGACCCGGGACGACCATCTCGAGATGCTGCAGCTTTGACCCGTGTTTCTCGAGGAAATCCCGTAGCGAGCGAGAGGTATTCTTGTTGCTGACTTGTTGGAATACTGCACTTCGTAACCGTGGCAAGCTAGAGAAGTGATGTCAGCTTCCCGCTATCAAGCGAGAAAGTAGGGACTAACTTGACTTTCGTCAATGCGCTGAGAAGACTGTCATCATACAGGCCCAGAGTCAGCACTTCAAGTGATGACAGGCAGGTAGGCAAGACTCCGTCATCTTCATGGAACACTGTCCTGCTATACCATTCCAGGGAGCGTATAGCTATCATATCGTGGAAGAGCGATAAGCTTTTCTGGCCTTCATCCTTCATCTGGAAGCCGTGCAACGTGTGTAAGGATGACCCTGCTATGTTGCATAGGGTTTTCAATGCTGCCCAATCCATAATAAAAGGTGGGCAGCTGTAGATATAGAATGCCCGCTCGTAGGTGAGAAGTTGCTGAAGATTGGGGGCCTTGGTCAGGATATTCTTGACCAACTGATGCACCTCAGAGAGATAATCATCATCCAACTCTGGCTGACCGAGAATCTCAGACCGGGATGCAATGCCCCTGTAAAGCATGAGCAGCCGAATCTCAGATCCTAATGACAGTTGCGTAGACAGTTTCCTGGACAATGACTGGAGGCCTACCAAACCTGTGATAACTGGGGAGTGGTACAAGAGAGGAAGTGCTAGCTCCTGATATGACAGACGGTAAGCTGTGCAACAGCCTGGAAGGAAATGCACAAACATAGAGCTGCTTGCAGATGAGCAGAAACTGCCATTGTCCTTCATTAGGCATCGAGCCCGGGAAACGTTCGCATGTCCGAATGATAGAGTGTTTGCCATCTTTACCCATAGCGAAGAAGAGAATACGGGTCCAGATGCTTGATCTCACATCTTGAGGAGATGCGGCGAGACAGGCGTACGAGCCCGCCACCCATGACATATCCTCTATATTGTCCTCCCTACAGTCTTTGATAGGGGGCCGTTGCGGTCTGAAGGGCGTAAGCACTTGTGGTGGACTGACTGAGTATGACTCACCGCGGGTCTTGGTACACGATGAGCTCAGCTATATGCGGCATCCGATCAAGGCGTGAAGCGAAGCCACTAGCATCATTGTGGCTCGCAAGAATGTGTGCCATTTTCAAACCGGGATTAGCAGCAAATCCGTCAAGCATAGTACAAGTCTCAAGATACAGAGATTGCATTGAATAGGGGAGCACAATTGTCTCGAGACTCGGTGCTTTCCTTAGAGCAGCTGATAGCGCATTTGCTCTTGCTGTCGGTGTCTCTCGAGGACTTCCCTGGGCATATGGTACATAACAGACGCGCTATAGGCCGCAAGTTTAGCGAGATCCAAGTTACCTGCCTGACGGCGGAGAGGCTTCATCATCTACACACCAAGTTCATCCACTTTTTCACGATACAGTCACAGACTGCTTTGGTCAGTGCTTTTGTTTTTGCATTATCCAGAACTTTCTTTGCCCTTTCTAAAAGCCTGGGTTTTTCTAGATTTTCATGAATCACAAGCCGACAGGGATCGAGGGAGGGTAATGCATGGCAGAGGCCTTGAACATTGTCACTTGAAGATATGGAAAGTGAGAGGTACAGATCTTTGATCTTAGGTGCGGCCAGTATGATTGTTTCCAGTGCCATCCCAAAACCACCCTCGACCCTGAGCTTTCGTATGACCTGGCCAAACTGCTTGTTCGCCTTCAAGACCCGTGCGAGAGCTCTCGCCTGCCCGCTGGATCGCAGTATAACGACCTCAAACAAGAGGGGAGTGGCGACTCTCAGCCATTGCCTACAGACAAGGAGGATCGCCGAAGTAGAAATCTGGGAGCGAAATTCGAAGGCAGCTGGACTTATATCGCAGAACACCTCGTCAGAAACCTCTAGGACAGGCTCCAAGATTTTAGCAACAATCTCGTCGGGGAGATCAGACATAGTTTACAGATGAGTAGTTGGAAAGCCAGTTGTCAGGGAGATGAACGATATTCGAACTTGAAAGAACAGGCGGCGCCGCATTGGCGGCCGTGACGCTGTTGTAATATATATTTGGCATTATTTATTTACTTCCATTTTCGTAGTTATGTCTCACTTTAGCCACTTATTCCACTTCGTACCTTCGTTCTGACTTGTATTTCTCTAGTCTTATATCATAGTGTAGTTATTCTGTGTATATAAACCCTTGTATTTTACGTTGTAATATCAGATATCTCCTCTCGCGTCCCGGGGACGTGGGTGTATTCACAACGCGTCGACAGCACGTGGTCGCGACAACAAGTAACAGCCTGCACCAGGACAAGCGCAAGCTCAGGCTCCTAAACCCCCCGTCCTTAGCGTTCGCGCTCCTCTACTTACTAGGGCAGAAGTGAAATATTATGTAAGAAAATGTATTATATGAGAATTACCGGATACAGAACAAACAAGAGGAGGAGAACACTATAGGAGTCAATAGGATGGCTGGAACAAATCGTCTCCCCAAGATCACTGAGTCCGACTAAGCATGCCAACAATGGCGGTAGCTGAAATGCTTCAACAGCAGTGGGTGTACTATATGCTCACTGAATACTCAGTCCTACAGTATAGCGTTCTCCTCTTGTTTGTTCTGTATCCGGTAATCCTCATATAATACATTTTCTTACATAATATTTCACTTCTGCCCTAGTAAGTAGAGGAGCGCGAACGCTAAGGACGGGCGGTTTAGGAGCCTGGCACAAGCTGAGAATGACAGTCCTCGCAATCCTGTCAGGGGGACGTTGAGCATGAATGGGACGGCACTTGGTGCAGGCGATCCTATCCCTGAGCTCACCTTGCTTTCGGACTATTTGTTATTGTATTACTTTTGAGCTATCTGACAGGGTTAGTCGACGAAAACATACGCAACCCTCTGTCCATCATATTGGCAAGGACGTGCACAGTAGAATGGGCCTACGAATAAGTAGATGCTAAGTAATATATTAATGATTTGCGGATACCCGCAGGGACCTGATACTGTATCATCAGCCGCCCGGGCCTTGAACCTGCTTCTGTCTGACCGCTACGAATAATCCGCCGGTTCACCGTCGCAGAATTTCACTTGAGTCGTGGCGTCCAGCCTTTGCCTGCCTCATCTAACAGGCCCACGTTCCATCGCCTCTTCAATTCGGCATCCCATTTTATCCACGGATTTTTCGCATATGCACGCCTAGGGATAACACGAGTGATCAGTCCGGGCACGAAGGAACTGGTTATTATAGGCTAAGCCTACTGGTTTGTGGGCCAGAGATTGAGGGTAATCTGGATTGCTTCCAAAGCCGGAAGTTCGCTCAGGTCTAAGCCGTCAAAGAATGGAGACCATGTCTTCATCACGTGCGGCGCGCCCGTCCCCGTCGCAACGAGCGTATCATACGGCCAGTTTCCTGCGCTACTCCGGCGAGTGAACACGACGCATCTCGAGTACGCAGACAAACTTACTTCGGGTCCCGGATGATGATCTTCTTCAACTGGCTACACTCCCCCGAATGTATATGAGCAAGGATGTCGTCCACCTGGTGGGTATGATTAAGGCCGCTATCACGAAGAGGCGATTGAAGTAGGTTACCAAAAATATCCCCCGCAAAGAGTCCGTCTCGAGCGTGAATTCTGTCAGGTTAGGGCATAGATTGAACAGGGACGGGAGCTTCAAGAACACGGAAAGGAGCTCGAGACGACGCAGCTTCAATCCATGCTTCGTGAGGAAAGGCAGTAACGATTCTGAGGTCTTCACGAAGGATATCTGATCGATCACTGCAGTTTGAAGCGACGGCAAGCTGCAGGGGCAGGAGAGCGTCAGCCATGTCCCCCCAAGCAACGGCAATGAGAGCAACAACAAAAGGCACTCACCTCATTCTCGATAGCTCGCTGAGAAAGCTGTCGTCGTATTTGTGCAGCGTCAACATCTCAAGCGATGACAGGGACGTAGGCGAGACGTCGTCATCGCGACGGAATGCTGTCCTGCTGGACCATTCCAGGGACCGTATCACCGTTAGACCATTGAAGATCGACAAGCTTTTCCCACCCTGATCTTCGCTGTCGTCTTCGATTCGATCTTCTATCCGGAAGCCATGCATTGTCTTCACAGACGCCCCTGCAACGCTGCAAATCGTATCCCATACTGACCAGTCTATCCTGAAGCGCTCGGAATCAAAGAAGCTGAAATGATATGTGAGAACCTGCTGAAGATGAGGCGTCTTGGAAAAGATCCGCTTGAGGAATACGTTAACATGGTCCCTCAGCTGACCATAATCTTCAACTTCCTCAGAGCCGAATATCGCCAAGTCGCCCGTGATGCCCTGGTTAAGCATGAGAAAGCGAATATTACTTCCTAGCGCAGGTTGCGCGACAAGCTTGTCGGATAGTGACCGAAGGCCCGTGAAATTGGCGACAACACAGAATCGGTATAAAAATGGGAGCGCTAGTTCCTAGAATGGGACTATTAGCCTCGCAACGGCCTCGCGAGAAAGACACGAACGTAGAGTTCCTTGCAGACGAGCAGGAATTGCAACCGTCCTCCGTTAATTTTGATACCTTCGTCCTTGCGGAGTACTCGCTCGATATGACATTCACCATCGTTCACATCCATGACAAACTCAAGAATGCGGGACCAGACTTTGGCCCGTACTGCTTGCGAAGAGGAGGAGAGACATACATATGAATAAGCGATGGATGACTTGTCTTTCACGTCACTCTCCCTCTGATCCTCTTGGGATCTGGATGGTGTAAGCACGCGCTTACGGTCAAAACGACGAGACTCACGGCAGCTCCTCGTACACAATGAGTTTCGCTACACGGGGCATGCGATTAAGCTGTCGAACGAAGCCCTCGCGTCCAGCTTCCTCGTAGCTGGCAAGAAGTCGAACTGCTTTCAAGCCAGGATTGGAAGCGAAACCCTCAAGCGCGTCAGAAGTCAGGTTGTGCGCATATGTCGGCAGACGGGAGAGCACAAGGCTCTCAAGATTCGGCGAGTGCTTCAGAGCCACCGATAGTGAGGACGCCCTCTGCGTCGTTGCCCAGGGAGCATGCTCGACGTAGGGTATCTGACAAACCCGCTAGAGGTCGAGGGCGAGGGCTCAGCGCGAACTATTTCCCGAAAGAGCTGCGTGTCTGCGTACCAAGTTCGTCCAGTTCATCCTTATGCAACGACAGACCGCATCAGTCAGGTCCCTCGTCTTTGCATTGTCCAGGACATGCTTGCCACCCTGCAAGCTTTCCACGCTTTCATGGATGAAGAGTCGACAAGGGTTAATAGACGGTAACGCATTGCAAAGGCCTTGAACATTGTCGCTCGAAGATTGAGAGAACGTCAGGTACAGGTCCCTGACCTTAGGTGCCGCAGATATGATCGTCTGCATGGCCATCCCGAATCCACCCTCCACCCTTAGCATGCGTATGAACTGTCCAAACTGTTTGTTTGCCCTCAGGACGCGCGCCAGAGCTTTCGCTTGCCCACTGGAGCGGAGTATAACCACCTCGAACAATAGTGGAGTGGCCACTCTCAGCCATTGCTTGCAGACGAGGAGGAAAGCAGAGGTAGAGATCTGGGCGCGAAACTCGAAAGCAGATGGGCCTGTATCGCAAAAGACTTCATCTGGGACGCCTAAAACGGGCTTCAATATCTCGTGCACAATTTCGTCAGGCAGCAAAGGCATATTCCGCGCAGACGAGACCGTTTGAGGGAGAGACGGAAACAGAGGGACAACACGCCCATGACTGCGACGCGTCAGGTCACGGTTATGTGACGCGTCGACGAGAGCAACCCGTTGACTGCACCAGCCTTCACTTTGAACTATCTCACTGAAGTCTAGAGTAACGATCTCAGTGCTTCGCCCATCGTATTTACTATTCGCACTCGCGCGGTCGCGAAGGCGCGAAATAACAAACCCTCCTAGGTCTAGGAGATATAGAACCTTCAAACCAATTAAGTATCTCTATGTTCAAGTAGACCTCCCGAGCAATGAGTTCAGGACTAATCCTAGAAGGAAAGCGAGGAGAAATCCCAATAGGGGCGTCAAAGCACCCACGCCAGGTACCGGGCCCAACGCCACAGCTTCCCGTAATGCATCCTCCAAACTCAACGCCATAGCGTCCATCCCGAACATTTCCCTCGCACGACTGCGACCTCGTCCAGCAAGCAATGCGCGCTCGTCTTTCGACAAACTGACAATCTCAACTAACGCGTCCGCCCACAGGTTTTCGTCGGGAGGACGGAGCCATCCAGTGCGCTCTGACGCGGGTGAATCGATGATACTCTCAGTCGGGCCGCCAGAGTCGCACGCCAGGACTGGAAGACCAGAGACCATCCCCTCTATTGGTCCGATACCGAAATGTTCATTAGTAGGTGTGTAGAGCAAGGCAAGGGTGGACGCCGAGGATAAGAGGGCCGATCGTTGGGCAGTAGTGAAGTTCAGGAGGAGAATGATATCGGGGTTCTCGGGTTTCATGTTGAAAGGAGGAATGGTAACTTTGGACGAGGAAGGTTGGATGATGGTATACGACAGCGACTTGGCTTTCGCTCGGTCGATAAGGCCAACCAATGTCATCATATTGTCTTCCAGCCGTGGATCATATCCGCCTGTACTGTGTTAGTTTTCGAATGGAGAGACCGCACTGCAGCACGCACCTGCGATAACCAGTCGTAATGTCTCCATAGGTATCGAAGACTGTTCCGACAAGCGCCTCCGGAAGAGGGCAAACGAGTCGACTGCCAGCGCGGTATTCTTCTTCTTTTCAAATCGATTGAGGGAGAGCAACGTAGGCCGATCCCTGACCAAAGAATATTCAGGCTGAATCCACTGAGCACGGAAAGGGACATACGAGACGACTTGGCGTACGTCAGGATCGTCCCAGTCAGGCGAAGACTCGTATGCCGACAGATTGACACCTGGATATATGACACGCGGATTCACTCGAATGCTTCTAAAGTGTTTTTTGAAAACGCTCGCAGTGAATTTGGAATTGGCGATAATAACGTCAGCTTGACCTGGCCCACGTCTCAGCTCCGCGTTACAAAGCTGAGGGCACATCTGACTCACTGGTAGTAACCTCCTCTAACCAGTCCATAGGCATCCGGTAGAGTCGCTTGAGCAGACTTCCCTGCTGTCCGGACTTGCCTTCGACGTAAGCACCGTCTGCTAGCAGTTTATCCGGGAAATGACAGTAGAACACCACTCGTTTGCCAGCTAAAAGGCGCAATATCGGAACGCATGTCGACAGCTGGTCGACGAAGAATACGTCGTACTTCGAAGCGGATTTTCGGATTATATGGGATGTAAGGTGCAGTTGTCGGGCGTGGGCGAGCAGGATGTGAAGCTTGCCCTTGATGGACCTCGGGAAGGGGGGCCTCGGGCAGTGTACTCGGAGGGTTCCTAACCACAATGGATATGAACAAAAGGGTCATACCTCGCCGAAATGTGCTAACCGTCTTTCGTTTCCTCGAAGCAGTGAGACGGGTCGTAGTGGGAGGTGTAGATATCCACGGAATGTCCCAGCTTCTGCAACCCAAGCGCAGCATCCACCACCAATCGTTCAGCACCGCCTAGACATCTTTGGAAGGTTAACCATGTCAAACAAGTAATTGCATTTCATACCTAGCCCTAGGTCAGGATGCAGAAAGGCAACCGCGAGACGTTTCGTGTCCGAAGCCATTTCAACAGTGGGTTATAAATGTGAATGCTGTCACTTTCAGCGTCCCATCCGAGTGCAATCAAGCTAATACCCAGTGTCGTCTTGGTACGTCGCAGTTCTGAGCAGGGAGCGCAAGGTACGGCTTCCAAATCCAAGCTCGCTGTCAACCGAGGAGAGGGTGTCAAGAGGGACAAGCGTGAGAGGGTGGCAAGGTCCCCCGGATACCGGCTCGCAATTGTGGCTCTCAAGCCCGACTCGACTCGACTCGTTTGCGTATGCTCACGTACTCCTGCACAAGATACAAGATAGGGAGGGATCTTTTATTTCACCGTAATACTCATCAGATACAGGGATAGTACGTGGTAATGTATATTCTACAAGCAAAACTATGAATCAATTGTAAGATTGAAGCCTTTGAACCACGTATATTGGTCTTTCGGCGTCGCATACTCCGGTTCATGGCCGCCAAAAAATGTGCTGTATTACCATACTACAATGAGCGCCACACCATACATCTGGATAGATCACCGAATACACACCTGAAGAACAAGCCCGTGAAGCCCACCGCATCGTGGCTCTGCGTCTCGGAAGCATGTGACCCCGGGTCCGATTGGACGCCAGCATCCTCGAGGACCAGCGGAACATCGTCAGATAAGTATTCCATGAAATCAGGCCACGACTCCCCCGCAGAGACGCTGTCTTCCACCCGCTTGCGTAATCCGCCGAGCAAGGACCCCAGGAGGCCTCCATTACTATCGGTGGATCCGCTGGGTGGTTTACCGCCTTTTGTATTACTGTCGGATCCGGGAAAGCCTCGATAGAATATCTCGGAGCCATTGATCGCCCGCTGCCCGTTGACTTCAAGGACGAAAGCTCCGTCCTGCATCCCAGGCGTATTGAGGGTTACAGTCTGTCGAACGTGCGTCCAGTTGCCCTTGGTGAAGTTGAAGGAACCCCGCCCTATGGACAGACCATACTCAGAGTCACATACGGACTGGGGTGGGGTCTCGCAGACGGATTTTGCTTGCTTGTCCCTCGGCGCATACTGCAGTCCCACATTAGCATCGTCCGCTGCTCGCGATGGTTCCCGGGAAGCCTACCAGATACAGTTCACCAAGGCCGCCTTCACGCCACATGAGCCGGGTACTGAAACAGTCGTCGGCATCGTCGCCTCCAGAACAGCCCGTATGGCCGCCGTAGATACCGGGAAGCTTTCCCGCCTTCACCCAGTCGAAGTCATCTGGGAAGAACACGCTGTACTCCAGCGTCACGCTAGAGGCATTCGAAAGATCCAGCGGCTGCGCGTAGAACTCCGCTCCTCCCTGCGGCGAATTCCCAGGGTTGATGGAGTGCGCGGGGTAAAAGAGCTCGAGCGCGCTGTCGTCGTCGGTTAGGTTCAGGTTGGTAAAGGAGCTGATGGAAAGGACGCCGGTGCTGTTGGTTTGGTTGCTTGAGGGGGAGACGATGTGGAGGTTGTCTTGGCCGCTTGGGAAGTAGGTGATATTGAAAGGTGTTAGGTCGCTTATATTTGCAGGAGGATTCCAGGAATACAGAGCAGCGGATGGTGTTGGAGACGAGCTTAGACTGGCAGTGGTTGAAGAAGGCGCCAACGAGGGAGAGGCATACGACATGGCAGAAGTCGATGGTGTCGTCGAGACAGTATCGGTGCTCGCGGCAGGAACACTTTCTGAGGTTGTAGTTGGAATAAAGGCACTTCCAGAGGTAGTAGGAGACTGGGTAGGCAGCGTTGGCGTAAAAGACTGTCCAGAGCAGGATGCAGAGGCCGCTACCGAACGGGATTCTTGAGGACCAGGCGGTACAGGAGAAAGCATTAACGGGACATCTTCGAGAGCAAAACTAGGCACCGCAGGTGGAGCCGATCCTGTGGTAGTAGGACTTGACAGCATTGGCAAGTCAATTGCCGGCGCGCTGCCAGCAGCGTCGATAGGAATTGAAAGAGCGGCGATAGCGAACGACAGCAGAAACAAAGCAGACCAAGACATGACAGAAGAATCAAGCAAACATCCTAGGACATGCTGGATTGGATCCTGGTCGTGTGGCCTCAGCTGAGAGCATCTGAAGTGTCAGCCGCCCGGAAGACATCAGTCCGGACTCGATCATACCAGCACCGAACCTTGTCAAACTGCGCATGTTTCTGTACGGCCAGCAGAAACCCAGCCAACGTAGACACCCGAACGTCTGCAGTCTTCGTACAAACCTGAAGAGCGTTACAGTCTGAGTCTATGAGATGCTATGGTTCCATGAGGCAGGAAGTGAAGCACCAGTCAGTTTGGCTTTCGTTGCAGAGAAACCCTGAGACGCTAATCCAGATCCGCTTCGGCATCTGGGGGGTACTTTAACCCAAGCAGACAATTTGTGAAAGAGTTGAAAGGCCTGCAGCTGCCAACCCGATATTCATGGGTTCATCTACAGCTATTATTAGCCGCCGATCAGAGCCTGCTCATTGAACCCGGACGAACACGCCCACAGAGCTAGCAGTGCTGTGTTTGTTTCCCGCGGAGCTCTGTTTCTGCTCTCTTCCCAACGCTGCGCGCAGGGGAAGCGAACGCGCTATCAGATACTGCCAGCCCGTGATGGCGGCGGCTATGAGTATGACATGACCGCAGGGTTATTCCCAGCCATGGTTACTCCCTCGGCCGCGAGGCCTGCGTTATATATACGGAACGCACGAGAAGCCAGACGCCGAGCCTCACCGAGCCTCACCGAGCGCAATGCTGCTCTCTCTGGCGACAGCGGGCCTGGCGGTTTGGCGACCGCCTGTTTGTTCAAATACTATTCGGGGCTGAAGGTGAGTGGAGGAGCACGAGAATCCGGGAGCAGCCCGTGTCGAACAAGAGTCCGCATCTAGAAAGTGTCCTACCTGCCTGGATTACGATGCGCGTTCGCTCCTCTATCCATGTGCGCTGCGGCGCTCCCCACAAGCTGGTGGAATCCGGGACTTGATTGGCCCTGGGAGTGGAGATGGGATAGTGAGCGGATGCACATACCCGCTGAGGATCAGGGAACTTACATTTGCCCGCCAGCCTACAAGCACTACCACTCCCAAACCATCTCTTGCGTCCCGTTCATCCGTGGGATACCCTATGTATACACGTCCTCCCTTGAGGTGGCGAAGCAAATCCTGAACGTACGTCCGGAGGTGTACAAAGCACCGGATTCCACTGGCGCTATACTGTGCGTGTGCTCTCTCGAAGTAATTGTGACCTCGTTCCACTCGCGACGTGTGCGAGCAGTTTCCTGTGGGGAGACAACGTCGTCTCCGCTGATCACGACATGTACAAGCGCCACCGCCGAGTCGTCGGGTCCGCGTTCAGCAGGGCTGGGTAAGTACTCTGGCGGCTCACAGCCGCGTCATGGGAAGGCTGACTTCCCCTTCCTGCGAGGTACGTCCTCGTCGCCGAGGAGACAGGCAGACTCTACCGCGAAATGGTCGAAAGCGAGGGATGGCTTCAGGCAGACGAAATCGCCGTCGACTCCATCAACCACATCTTATCCAAGGTATGCGACCCGAGCTATCACCTTCGATCTTCTCGACTTGATCATTTCCTTGCTGCAGTTTGCTTTGGGGATGATTTCTCGATGCGGCTTCGGCCTTCCCTTCCCCTGGTCGAGCCCCACTGAGTCTTCCGACGAGATGTCTTTCGAGGAAGCGCTGACCATCGTCACCGAGAAGGCCGTCGTCCGCCTAGCGGCCCCTCGTTGGCTGTATTACCTGCCGATCAAGCAGTGAGTAGCCCTGGCATGGCCTTCGCCGAGAGTTGTTTGATATGGTTCCAGGCTTCAGCAGGTCGAGAAGGCCTACAATACCATATCGAACTTTATGAGCACGTTCATCGCTGCGAAGCAGGCGGAGCTCAGTTCGCAGACGGGCGGCAATGATACGAGGGCTAACCAGGATTTGCTCACCAGGCTGGTAGCGGCTAGTCAGGCTGAGGGGAAGAACGGGTTGTCAGATCGAGAGCTGGTATGTCAAGTACTTTGGGTGGAGAAGTAGGAGCTAAACGTACTTCTCCCCAGTTCGGGAACACCTTCACCTTTATGTTTGCTGGCCATGGTAAGGCTCGCTCCACTACTAGAAGGCGCCCTCAGCATTACAACTCTCGGGTGATGCAGAGACTACGGCACACACCTTGTCTGCGACGCTTGCGCTGCTATCTGTTCACCAAGAGGAGCAAGATAAGGCGGCAGCTCACATCCGCAAGGTCCTAGGCGACCGGCAGCCCGTAAGCCGATCTATAGCTCATATGGGCGGCTTCCACGCTTGACTGACTTGATCGCAGACCCTCGAGGATGTCGAGTCAGGGGAACTCGATCTGGTATTGGCCTGCTTTGAAGAAGCAGCTCGCATGTACCGTGAGTGGCACCCGACAGGGACTCCAGGCACGGTGATACTCACACTCCGCTATCCGCAGCGCCGGGGTCCATCGCTACGCGGGACACAAACCAGACGATATCGCTCGCTCTACCCGAAGAAGACGGCGGCGGGCACGCCGTCATCCACCCGGGCGTGCGCCTCATAGTTGACTACATCGGCCTGCGTGCGTGGTTCCTCATTCATCCCGTTCTGTGCCACGTTTGTCCTGAACAAACTGATTGGTGCTAGACTACAACCCGCGCCTCTTCGCCGACCCATGGCGTTACGATCCCTCGCGGTGGTACGGGGCGCGCGAAGCGGACATGACGTTCTTCAGCATCGGGCCCCGCGCGTGTCTCGGGCGCAAATTTGCGATTGTCGAGGCGCTGTTTCTCTGCCTTTTCTTGCGCGAGTGGAAGGTGGATCCTCTGTTTAGGCAAGGAGAGGCGGTGGAAAAGTGGAAGGAACGATTTTTGCACGGAGGATTCGTTGGGTTAGCGTTTGGTCTCCGCGATGTGCCCTTGAGGATAACCAGGAGGGGGGAGGCGTGCGCATGAGGCGCTGTCAGTGATAGTATTAGTATCAGGTACCAACTTTCAGTTACGCATATATTGCCTACTGTCAGTTAGTTCGAGCTTCTATAACTCGAGCCTTATTTGGCAACGCAATATTTGATTGACCTAGCGTCTGCCATTGTGTCTGCAGTGACAGTCTGGCTGTACTGCACTCCGCCCTGATCGTGGCTTCTGCTTTCCTTGAGCTCCCTAGAGTAGTTGCTTATCACGTTGACCTGAAGGTACGCTGTCTCTCCGTCTCCCGTAGTCTGTCCAGACCAAGACGCATAGGCCTTGCGTGAACGGGACTCATTGCGACCAGGCTCTACAAGAGCGTCATCGAGAGCAAAACTAGGCAACGAGGTTCCAATCGAGCCTGTATTAGTAGACCTTGACACCAGTGGTAATTCAATTGCCGGTGCATCTATAGGAATTGAAAGAGCGTCGAGAACAAAGATAGCAATCGACGGCAGCAACTAAGCAAAAGAGTCCACGACAAATCATCAAGGAGGCCTTCCAGCTTGCTATGGTTAACTTGCGGTGATGTTGCTTAGATTTAAATCGCCACCGATGCCAGCCGCCCGGGAGGTACATTTTGAACCTGATCGCTATGAAATCAGCCTTGAACGTCCGGCAGAATGCCGACATTAATCATAAAAAATACCAGAAGCCAGAAGGTACTGGAAGTCCGATGAGATGGTCTCAAGACATAAACTTCCTCGGAAATGGTCGTGTGGTCAGCCTGAGGACGATTACAGTCTAAGTCCGTTCAGTGTCGACTTCATGCGTGCAGAATATTATTACTGACATCCTGCTACGCGGAAATGTTCTGTAAAGAACCGAGTGGAGAATTCGTAGGAGAGAACTGAGCAGTAAAATCAAGTAAGATGTACTAAGCTCTCTTCTGTGGGACCATCGTAGCGGCGCAAGCGCCAATCCCCGACTCCAGTCAGAAACCATTAAGTATTCCAGTACTAGTGTGTGGTCAAGCTGCGGAATGCCACTCTTGACAGACACATACACAGTATTCATATAGTCCTGTTTTATATCTACATCAGTATTTAAAGGGGCTTCCTCAAGTTACCGGTTCCCACTCAGAGATACTAGTCTCATCTATTGGCCTCACTTATTTGAATGCATCCTTTTATCGAATGCTATGCCCTTGCATCACTTGATCGTTCACGTTAGGTGTGTGCGGGCAGTTGTCTTCAAGTCGAAACGAAAGTGGCGTCGGTCCGGTCGGGACCGCTGCTTACATGAGGTTCTCACGGCGAGAGCGAGTTGTATGGTGGAGCGACCATTTCTTCCCGAACCCTCCTCCCAACTACCGTGGGAGTCGGGGATCTTTCAATTAATCGATAGGATTACCATATTGGTTCGAGAAGCCAATCACTGGCAGAGCGCTTGGGACGATGCACTTCGTGACTTACACTTTGCTCACATAGTGCCGCCAATGTTATGTCTGTTTTCTGCTTGTTTCGGGTGCTCGCATAGAGCTCTATGGCAGCTTGCACATACTCCGCGACCATGGACTGCCACTCTGCAAGCAAAAATGCTTCCGGGACACATCCGGTGATTATAGCGACTTGTGTGAAATGACCTCAGATTCTTCCCAGCCAGACTTACACGCCTAGTCGCGAGGCTTGTGCCATACACACCCAACGTACGAGACAGCGAGACGGCGAGCACGACCATGCTGCTTTCTCTGGCGACAGCAGGCCTGGCGATCCTGGTGACCGCGGGTGTATTCAACTATTACTCCTCACTAAAGGTGCGTGGCGGAGGCTGCGGGGACGGGTAGCATCAGTCCGAACATCCAGACAGAAAGTCTCATACCTCCCGGGCCTGCGATGCGCATTTGCGCCTCTATCCTTGTGGGGTGCGCTACTCCCCACCAGCTGGTGGAATCCGGGACTCGACTGGCCTTGGGAGTGGAGGTGGAATGGTAAGCACACCCCGGTTAGCAGTGGAAGGACTTACGACGACTGTGTAACTATCCGGTAGTTTATAGACACTACCGCTCGCAAACCATCTCCTGCATTTCTATCATACGTGGAATACCCTACATATACACGTCTTCCCTTGACGTTGCGAAGCAGATCCTGAACGGGCGTCCGGAGGTGTACAAAGCACCGGACTCGACTGGTGCCCTAAGGTCCGTTTGTGAACCGCTGCCCTTCATGTCATTTCCGTGTCATGGACGATACATGGGAACAGCTATTTGTGGGGAGACAATGTTGTCTCGGCCGATTATGACATGTACAAACGCCATCGCCGAGTCGTCGGACCTGCGTTCAGCAGAGCTGGGTAAGTGTATCGCAGTTGTCGGATTATCAATAGACTGACTCGCATTTCCTCCTAGGTACGTCCTTGTTGCCGAAGAGACCGGCAAACTCTACCGAGAAATGGTAGATAGCGAGGGATGGGCCCAGACAGGCGAAGTCACGGTGGACTCCATCAACCGCTACTTATCCAAGGCACGTCTTCCTATCTCCATTATGTGGGATTGCTCCGATGGCATATGCTCCAGTTCACACTAGGTATCATCTCCCGATGCGGCTTCGGCCTCCCCTTCCCCTGGTCCAGTGTCACCGCCGCTTCCGAGGAGATGTCCTTTGAGAAGGCACTGACCATAGTTTCTGAGAAGTCCATCATCCGTCTCGCAGCCCCGCGTTGGCTGTACTATTTGCCGATCAAGCAGTGAGTGAGCCAGGTGTGGTTGCATTAGCGGGTTGTTCCATATACAGCGATTCTCTTTTTTATGTAGGCTCCATGAGATCGACAAGGCGTATGCGACCGTATCGACGTTCATGAGCACGTTCATTGCTGCTAAGCAAGCCGAGCTCAGTTCTCAGACGGAGGATAAGGATATAAGGTCCAGCCACGACTTGCTGACACGGCTGGTAGCGGCTAGTGAGGCTGAGGGAAAGAATGGGCTGTCAGATCGAGAGCTGGTGGGTCGCATCCTTTGGCTCCGGGCAGTATAGACCTATGTGTTTCTCCGCAGTTCGGGAACACTTTCACGTTCATGTTTGCTGGACACGGTAATGCTCTTCCTACTTTCAAAGTGCGCTATCTGAATCATAATTCGCGGGCCAGAGACAACGGCGCACACACTGGCAGCCACGCTCGCACTGCTGTCTGTTCACCAAGAAGAGCAAGACAAGGCGGTTAATATCATCCATAAGGTTCTCGGTGACAGACAGCCTGTACGCAGATTGATAATTGCCGGCGGCCATGCATTGAACGACATAATTGCAGACCCTGGATGATGTCGAGTCCGGGGAACTCGACCTGGTCTTAGCGTGCTTCGAAGAAGCAGCTCGGATGTTCCGTAAGTTGCTCTTGCAACTGAGGTTTCCAGTTACCTTGTCACTTAGTCCGCACCATGTACAGCGCCCGGCTCCATAGCCGCGAGGGACACAAACGAGACAATATCCCTTGCTCTACCACAAGAAGATGGAGGTGGGAATGCCGTCATACCCCCCGGTGTCCGACTTGTGGTCGACTTCATCGGCCTGCGTATGTCTCCGTCCCATCTACTGATCAGTGACACGTTCCCTTAACAAACCCAATTGGAATGCACGTAGACTACAACCCCCGCCTCTTCCCCGACCCCGGGCGCTACGACCCGTCACGATGGTACGGCGTGCGCGAACCTGACATGACATTCTTCAGCATCGGCCCGCGCGCATGCCTCGGGCGCAAGTTCGCGCTGGTCGAGGCGACGTGCTTCCTGGCCCTCTTCCTGCGCGAGTGGAGGGTAGACCCGCTGTTTAGGGAGGGGGAAACCGTGGAGGCGTGGAAGGAGCGGTGCTTGCAGGCGGGCTTTGTCGGATTGGCGTTTGGGCTCCGCGACGTGCCCCTGAAGATAACGAGGCGAGAGAAAGCGTGAGGTGCTGTCAGTGTTAGTATCAGGTACTGAGTTTCAGTTATGCATATTGCTCTCCGATATGATTTTGCTTTGAACAGTGGTCGGATTAGGTATTTGGATTGTCTAGACGGGTGCAATACATTGCCCACTGTCAGCTATCCCATCGAAAGGACGCGCTTCTTAAGCCTTATTTGGCAACACAATGGTGATGGACCTAACTTATCCCAGTTCGTCTTCACCCCGCTAGTGTGCGTCCGTTAAGCTCTGCTGCATCGCAGGTCACCAGTAAGGTATCTTTCGAGCTATCTGAAGTATCTTTATCGGACTTTGAGAGCTCCCCAAGATATTATTCTCTGACGGACTTTGGCAGGCCTCAGACATATTGTTTTGGGAAAGTTGGCGCCTTCATTTCAATGGTACTGATAGGCGCAGGATGGTTGAAACGTAAGCACCGACCTGCTTCCGCGATTTGCGCCGCGCGTTCCTTCCACACCGCGATGAATTACCTATTTTCCGGCGAACGCTCGCACACAATGCCAAATCGGCGTTCTTCCATCCGACGTCGACCTACGTGGTAAGTAGTCCTATTGACTATTGCAAGTTGGAGTTCTATACGACTCATCCAGATCGCGAGGACTTCACTCTATCTTCCCCACAGCTAGCAGTACTCCTGAGTCGATCGTGCTGCAGGGAGCCGTGCCTATCTCCGGCATACAGACTTCATCAAACACCGTTGCATTCAGTTTGAGTTGTCTGCGTTTATGGCTACTCAACCTACAAATGCAGCGGGTAGACATGGAGTTGCGACCTCTGTCTGTTCTGAACGTTGTTCGTGTTCAATCAATGGGTGTTGGATGTCTACTCCTGGTATGTTGGTGGCGTCTCTTCGAAAGGAATAGTGCCGATTGGCACAGCAAAGCAAGAAGATGTATACGTCTTCCATCTCTAGGTACGTGAGCTCACCTCCTGGTATTAGTGGGACTTATAAAGTCGTTAGATTGAAGTTGGGAACGTCTTAGACTCCTCGTCCTCTACGGTTGAGTGTTGCGTACTAGGAGTGCAGTAGCCCGCCATGTTTGTTTCTGCCCTCGTCGTGGTTTCGGTTTTCTTCGCTATCTCCAGGGTGCTCGCTTACATCACTGCCCTTAAGGTGCGCCGTCTTCCTGCCTGCCGTAGTCTCGCTCAATGTTGTTGCAGAGGGTGAGCCATATGCCGGGCCTTCGATGTGCCCTGGCACCCATGGCATTTCCTGGTGCCATCTTCCCAACAACATTTTGGAACCCTGGCTTATTATGGCCCTGGGAGTGGAGGAAGAGTGGTGCGTCGTCCCCCGCAGACATTCCATTGCACACGTACTGACGTGTTTGTGTCTAGCATACCAACAGTTCCAGGCTCATACTATTTCATGTGTACCTTTCTTATCCGGCCCGCCATCCATATATACCTCCTCTGTAGAGGTTGCGAAGCAAATATTCAGTCCAAGACTGGAAATTTGGAAAGACCCTCATGCAAATGAGATCCTCAGGTACGGCTGCCATGAGCGGTTTTCCCATCACCAACTAAGCGTCATTTCAGCATTTGGGGGGATAATGTCCTATCATCCAACCATGATATGCACAAGCGGCACCGAAGAGTAGCAGGAAGCGCCTTCAACGGAGATACGTGCGTGCAATACCCCTCTCTCGGGTGACGGCACGATCTAATATGAACCCAGCTACAACATGGTGATGCAGGAAACAGCGAACTTGTATTATGAAATGATGGAGTGTGAGGACTGGAGCACATCTCCTACGGTCACTATAACCGCAATCAACGGATACATGTCGAAGGTGCGATCGACTTTGTTCTCCTGGGACTCTCGGGGCTGGGGGTAACATATTTCCTTAGTTTACTTTGGGTGTTATATCCCGATGCGGGTTCGGTATCCCTTTCCCCTGGAAAGGTAGCACCAAAGTCGATGGCATGACGTTCTACGAGGCTCTCATCGTTGTAGCTAAATCCTCTATCGTCCGAATCGCTACGCCCAGGTGGGCCTACAAGTTACCTATACGAAAGTGAGTGTTCTTCTCCCGCTGTTTCATGAACACGATGTTAAAGTATACCCGTAGGTTGCACGACGTGGAGAAGGCTTTCTCCACACTTTCAGTTTTCATGGATGACCTGATACGTACAAGGAAAGAAGAGTTTGCTCACGACGATGTTGCGTCTAAGACTCGGCAAGACCTCTTCACCAAGCTGGTAGCAGCGAGTGGAAGCGCAAACGAGAAGAACAAACTGGACGATCAAGAGCTTGTAAGTCACCCGGATCTACTTCTGCTTAAAAAAAGCTCATCGTCACTTAGATTGGGAACGTTTTTACTTTCTTGTTTGCCGGACATGGTGAGTTGCGACGCGCTTCCGATAGATGCTGACCTTCCATATAACTGTGACAGAAACGACCAGTCATTCGCTTTCTGCAATTCTGGCCATGCTCGCTCTTCACCCGGAAGAGCAGGACATCTTATTTGCGCACATTATCGAAGTTCTTGGAGATGACCGGGTTCCGGTGAGCCATACTTTTATGTTCCAACTCCCGTTATTCACCATGGACCACTAGACCCCGGCACAAGTGGATGCCATGTACAAGGTTCTTGCTTGCTTCCAAGAGACCGTGCGGATGTTCCGTGAGTCAACCTTGGCGCTGCGTGTTGAAGCGGATATGAATTTGTTATTGCAGCCAGTGCTGCTCTACTGACCAGGGACACGACGGATGTCATTACCTTAAACTTGCCGGAAGAGGACGGCGTCAAGCCTGTCGTAGTGGAAGCTGGTGTCAGGCTTGTCGTCGACATGATAGGCATGCGTAAGTACCGACAGAAAATACGTATATCCTGGCTGACCATGGATGCGACAGACCATAACCCGCAACTCTTCCCCGACCCGGAGCGTTTCATGCCCTCCAGGTGGTACGACTCGTGCGACTCGGACCTCACATTCTTCGGCATGGGACACCGTATCTGTCTTGGCAAGAAGTTCGCCATGGTCGAGGCGGTGACGTTCCTCGCCCTCTTCTTCCGCGAGTGGAAGGTTGAACCGGTGTTGGCCGACGGCGAAACGCTAGCGCAGTGGCAGGAGAGAACAATGCAGATGGGAATGAGGGGGCTGGCCTTTGGCGTCAGAGACGTCCCTTTGAAGCTGAACAAGCGACGTAATGCTTGAAGCATGTACTCTTGCTTGCTTGTCTATTATCTCGGTATTTTGGGACTCAGGCTGTAGACTAGATCTGGACCACACGGTGGTCGTCTGGAAAATATCGATTGGGCATTGGCACATGTGGGAGCGACTGTGTAGTCTACGTCCTGCGTATGTTAAGGCGGGAAGAGGCGTCCTCGCTGTCGACCTCTGTCTCAAGCTGTTACGACATGACCGCCGGTTTGCCATGGCAAGAACTGCTGGAAACTCTCGAGGACGGATGCGAGCTCTCCCAACCTTGCAAAGGGAATAGACATCGCAAGAACCATTACATTAGTACAAATACACGACATCATCTATAACATCCTCCTTCAGAGGAAGAGGTTACTAAGAACAGTACCTCATCAAAATTACAGTAAATCAATGATGCATCTAGTGTTAGACCGGTCATCAACATGCCCCAACAGCATTCTTACGCGCCAACCATCATCGTGATCATACATTAATCTGAACATATACCCAGTAATCGTCACAAAATCATCAAACCAAATAGTTCAATCAACCGGTCTATTCTCCTTGGCCGCTCACCAGGTCGAGGGACCAAAAGTGGGCTCAGCATCACTGAGGGTCCTCAACGCCGTGCCATTGTAGTCAGCGGTATTGGTGTAGACGGTGTTGCCCCACCACTTCGCGAGCGTGTTGGCGCCGATCGTCCCGTTCCGCGGGTACTGGAGGCAGAAGAAAATCACGACGATGGACACGGCCACACCAGAGTCGAGCGCGGCGGACAAGACGTAGTTGTACTTGGTCCACCACGCGAAATGTCTCCTGCGGATGACATACTGGAAGATGAATCCGACGATCGCCCACGGGACGTAGTTGACCGCGCTCGCGGGCGGGATGAGGCCCGTGCCGGTGAAGATGACGGGCATGTTCACGTACTTCCAGAAGCTGTTGGGGTACTTCCTCGTGAGCGCCCACGGAATGATGGGTGCGAGCGCGCCGATGAGGAAGAACCACGTCAGGGCGTAGTACATCTGGCCCTTCGAGAACTGCAGCGCGGGGCCGATGACACCCCAGATGATGGACGCCGTGCCGAACACCTCCGTCGACGGGCAAGAGAAGCCGTCCTTTTGGTGCGGCGAGCACATGTCCTCGATGTTCGTGAACATCCACGCCTGCACGCCGAGCTGCACGGTGCCCGCGACGACGGTCGCGAGGACCTGGCACCAGAACATCGGGCGCGGCGGGATCTTCATGTAGTGCCCGAGCTTGAAGTCGCTCGTGAACTGCAGCGCCTGCGTCATGGTGATGTACCCCCACGTCTTGAACATCATCATCGCGATGGGCCGCCCCGGAAGCGCGTACCCGATGATGAGCTCCGTGATGACGTTCAGCCCGACCTGCTGGTTGGTGATGGCCTGGATCATGCCGATGGGGATGGTGTAGACGAAGCCGATGATGAGCGCGAGGATGAACGCCCACACGGGCATCTGAGTGTGCCACACTTCGATCGAGATGATACCGAAAACGAACATGACGACTGCACGGGAAGGTATTAGTCAGAATATTACGACAACGTATGGACAAGACGAACCGAAGATGACGAGGTACCACCAGTCAGGGACTTGCTGGTACCGGCTCATCAACCGAGCATGAATATCCGGCTGCTCGCTCAGACTGCGCCTGCTTTGCACCCAGATCTGCTTGCGGAAGTACAGCAGCGTGTGCATGATGATCGCAGTGATGCTAGCGAACGACAGCCCGTAGCTCAGAGCGAATGTCGTAGACAAGAAGAGCGGAGAGTAGTTGTGGTACATCGTCGCGTTGAGAGTCCCCTGGGGCGTGAGGATGGCGGTGACGTTGTAGGTCGCACCTGTGTTGTCGTACGAGCCACGAGAAGAGATGGGCATGTACTGCGAGTACCAAGTGTTGGTGTAGTAGAGGAGGGGGGTGAGGAACCAGAAGAAGAACAGGAAGCCAGCGGCAACGTTCGCTTCCGCCCACCACGGGGTAGCCAATCTAGAGAGAAGGAGGTCATTTAATGAGTGGATATACCGATGGCAACGACAATACAACTTACGGACTGCCAATGTACGCGATTTGACTCCAGTCAAAGGTGATCAAGCTCATACCCAGGCCGGATTCGTACCCGAACATCTGGTTGACCTTGACATTGCTCGGTGCAATCCAGCAGACCCAGGAGAAGACCGAGAGCGCCGTGAAGATATAGCCGGGGAAGAAGAACCACAGGAAGGAGCCCATGAACGCGTAGACGAAGAAGCGTTCACGCGAGATACCGCCCCTGTTCCCGATACCCGCGTACTCCTGCGAGTGCAGGGTGTTGAACAGCGCGCAGAGGACCAGGTTGGACGGCCAGATCATGGACGGTGGGGATACCAGGAACCGCCTGGCGATACCGCCGATGGAGAAGCCGATGAGCTGCGTCGACATCACGACCATCCACTGGTACGAGAAGTTGTAGATCTGGTTGTAGTACACCCGCTGCACGGCAATGATATCCGTCGCGTAGGCGGACTGCGAGCCGACGTTGGCCATGATGGTGACCATGACGTGCTCCTTGACAGTGAAAGGACCAGGGTTGAGTCGGACGCCAAAGACGGAAACGTTGGGGACCACGGCGGCCCAGAGGCGGCCGATGGGGTAGGAGAGCAGCTGGGCGACGAGCCCGGAGATGGTGACGGAGGGGTAGCGGAAGAAGAAGAACTGGTTCAGGCCGGGGATGAGGATGGCCCAGGCGACACCGAGCACCCATGCGCGGAATGTCGCGCAGGGCATGTCGGGATCATCGGTGTTGGCGACGGCCGATCGTACTTCGGGATATGGAGAGTCATCCTCTGAGAGAGGCAAGGGATCAGACGACGGTGGTGATGCGAACTGCAGGGAACTCACCGAGGACAAGCATGTCCTTATCGAGGTTAGGGTCGTCAAACTCGGCCCCAGTGACCTCCTCGACGCGGGGAACGGCTGCATCACATCGTCAGTATTGCTTCGAAAGCGAGAGACGAGCAGCAACTCACCATGCCCCTTCTCAAAGTCATGCTTCTCGTCGATGGGCGTCGAGAGGCCCGACGCCCGTTCGTCTTTTTGGTACGCTAGTTCCATAGCTAAATGGACTGGCAGAGGAGGAAGGGGTGGGTACGGGAAGCTGCAGAGTCACACACCGGGGCGGGGGTGGGCCTATATACGCCCGAATAGCAGAGGCATTCGTGCTGCCTGCAGAGATAAGGACTTGACATGGCTTTAACTCTGCACCACATGGCTCCATCGCCACAAGCCGCCGTGTCCTGATAGTCCCTTGCCCGGGTATTCCTTCTCCTGGAACGCGCTCGGATACTTTAATTCCGTTGGACGCATCGCGGACCCCGCACACCGCCTTGCGGGGAATTTTTCGGAGTAGGCTGGGCAAGTCGGACGACGAGTCCCTGGGTGATCATAGCGCTCAATGTCCTTCCACAGGAGTTAGACGGACCTTACAATATAGAGAACGGCGTAAGAGGCATCTAGCTCGGAACGAGGTCGGATTTGCGTGACGGGCAAGCATAGCTATCGCAACCCGTACCTTGCAGAACACCATCACCGCATCCTTCAGCGCGTCCCTATGTACAGTAACAGGTGGATCACTATAGTCTTTCTTCCGTGGGATCATCGGGGGACGCCATTCCGCCGCTCGCCCCTCGCAGACCCTCATGGGAAGTCGAAACGGGCTCCTAGAGCCATTCTTCTCCGAGAGTATGAAGCACATCAACCAGCTCGTCAATGCAGCTGAAGATGATGAAAGAATGAGGAAAGATTCGCAGCACGCGCGACGCTGGGTGTAGCAGCTATGGCCGCCGCTGGTCGCCGCCGTCGGTGGCATCGAAAAGGGATCTGTCGTCTCATGGGCGGTGGCCCGGGTCCCTTTGGTCCGAAATGCCCAGCTTCTTACTGTACGCACCTGTCATGAGTCCTCCGGCCTTCGATTATGATAGTCGTGGTCCATATCTTTTTCTTTGCTCCTGGTACGGCCTCTGTTACCTTGCATCGTCCAGCCGCCTCCAGTTGGTCCATGTATTTTCCTGTGTTATCCATACCGCACCCGTCTACGCCCCGAAATCCGGCCTTCGTCATCGAAAATAGCTCTTTCATTCGGGGTATCACGGTCAGCTTGAGGTAATACTACATCCCCACATGAACATGTCCACGCCACGGCGTTCGCGACATCCGGTAATCCCACTATCATTTCATTCTCGACCTGTTCCTGTCTGCTCTCGTTCCATTCTTACGCCCGGCGAGGCGATCCTCCGCCCCGAGGAGCATATGCGCGCGCCCTGAAGCTTCAAGTTTTCTTTGCTCATGAGCCGTTGGCGCTGTCAACAAGGACAGCGCTCGTGATCGATGTTCGCGTCCTGCAGCGTGTGGACGTGTCACCATCCATCTACACATCCGTCCCGCGACATGTCTTTTTGAATGCAAAACGTGCTCAGCGACCGTCAGCTTCCTTATCTCTGCTGTATGCTTGCCACGGGCGGACACCTGCCAAGATCAGAACGAGGCTTTCCCTCGAGTGTCGCCCTGATACGACTTGAGCGGACCTTGCACAATGGCACATGAGCTCTCCCACATTGCACCCGCCCGTTCTGCTACTTAGGCCTGCCGCTGTGGATTTGTGGCACACGACTGCAAGGCGCCAAGTAGACCCGATAGGGCTCGGACGCGCGATATGGATCTTCTCACGCCCGTACGTACATATGGATCCCGAATTCGCCCGGCGGCGTTGCGGGGCAGCCGAGATCCTCCACCCTCGTGCGTAGATCTGATGGTGCATAGCCTCAAGCCTTGAAGCCGTCGCGTCTGTAAGTTTGGAAGCAGGCGTGCATGCTTCCCCCGCTTACGAGACCTTATGCCACAGCGCAGGTACCAGCTTGATGACGATTAATGAAGATGGGGTGCCTGTGATTCATATGCCCACCGGCCTGCGACTCAGGTCTAACAATATAACACCATGTGTATGATAAGTGAGTCTAGGCTACATAGGCTATTACCCAGGACTACCTAGCCATGATATAGCTAAAGTTTGATCTCGGCATACAGTAGGTATTCCTTATCACCCACCTAACGAGTGTTAGCGTCGTACTGACGTAGGACTTCGCGCAGGACGACCTAGCAAGGCACCGACGGTATCTCGGAAGCGTAGCGTCATTTCCGTGCGTCGGTAAGTCACGTAGCGAACCCAAACCGTTTACTCGATGTTGTGGCACCGAACCCATATGATCCACACATACCCGCCCAGAACTGGACCATCTGACGTATATCGCAGTATCTTATCTTCATATGTTCCGAGTTTTTCACGATAATCAGGGCATACTCGTGATGGCGGGCCATGACCACCACTTGAAATGTACAGATGGACGGTATCTAAGTACATACTCCTCGAGTTCCTTGATGCACTGATGTCCGATCTATTCGAACTCATCTTCCACCACTGGCAGCATTAGATCCGGTGCCTACCAACGCCTAGGACTTTCAAGAACCGTGCGCTCCCGCTATAGCATATGCCACCACTCCTGATGCCGGAGAGTTGACATCGACGCGTGCGCTGTATCTGTCTGCTCTGGAGATACCGCCCTGGGCCTCGGAGTCGCGCCCAGCGAATACCCCACCTGGACATCTCTGCATTCCACCGCATTGGACGCGAAGGGAATGTCAAGCCACAATCTGACGCCACCATGCTCGCAATCGCGCCTATGCTAGCCATGGAGAATTTCGTCGTTGTGGCTCCTCGCCTCCGGTTCCTGTCCGCGTACTCCCTGTCGACCTAAGTCGCACCACCACTCCGCGTTGATAGCCTGTCTGACGCAGATGCTCAGGCTGTCAGAGCGTGGCGCGATTGGGGTCGGCAGCCTTCTTCCCGCCGTGCCCCTGAACGCGTTCCTGGGACTTCTTGATGATCACGCGACTAAAGGAGGCAGCGTGGTACCCATGAGCGCGGGTGGCTATCGCGGACGTCGATGGTCAGCCAGCGGCCTATGTCAACACTTTTGTGGATCTGGATTGGCAAACTGCTGAGGAAGCTCGTCGCTGTGCATCACCTAACGCCGCACGAGCCGTTGGATCCTCATTCTTGCCTGCTTATACCCCGGGGAAGAGGACTAGCGCTCTGGATTTTGTGACTTCAAGCGCGTGGACCGCAGGCGTACCCAACGGCTCTCGACCTCGTAGGACGGCTCAGTGACTTGGTGTTGGGGTTGTAGTGTCAACACTCGCTGTAGACACCATACTGCTCTCAGCCTGTCTAGTTCTCTGCGATTCTTCGACGCTGCCGTCGGTGTTCTCGGTCATAAAGGCTCGGTCATGGACGCCTACATGTCCTGTTTCTGCGGATGCCTATCTCGTACCGCCCCGAGTGATGTAATCGATATACCAGGGCATCCCGCTCCCGAGAGATCATCCGGATAGCATCCTGACAGAGCAGCGTCTACTTTCATCAGCCCCTGCCCATGGACATATCCCTCCCTCTCTTGCAGCCTGTGCGGCCTCTTGCGATGGACGTTGTGACTGCCAAAGAAACGTATCGTTCGCATTATTTCTTTATGTACTGGTGAACGACTTCCAATCGCTGAAGTTGTGTGCCCTGATCCTAGCTTCGTAGGTATAGGATTACGGCTGGTTCAGATTGTTCTCCGCAAGCCAAAGCCCAGAGGCTCTGTCCTGTTATGATTATTCTGCACCTCTGACAGCACGGTCGGGCTGTGGCTTTTCTACCAATATAACAGCTTCTTACAGCGGCGTAGGGTCTTATTCAATAATATTCGCGCCCTAAGAAGATCCGCTCAAGCATGTACACAAGCCCTGGGCTTCCCTTCCGAAACTCGCTAGCTCGATGCTCCATGACACTTCCCGTCAAACTGGCGATGTCGTACTCAAGTTACACAAGACCTTTGACGAACGTCTCATTGATACAAGACTGGGATGGCCAGAACATAAAATACGCACGGGAAGACAAATGGACAGGAGTACGGCTGGTTTGCAGCTAATGTGTCCCGGTCAGCGGCGCATCCGGGAAAATCCATGCAACGTGCCGCACGGGTAGGGAAGGAATTATTGGAAGCGCTAGCGTACACCCCGATGACTGAGCCCTGCTTTGCCGCCTTCGGAAGGGTCAGATAGAAAAGTGGAGCGACCCAAGCCTTCTTCAGGGACATCGCTAGCATACCTCGAAATCTTCTCCATCTCTTGGTCTCCGCTTCCCGACGTGCAGAATTCGGTAGGCTCCATGTCGCGAACTTCGTCATAGGTCTCGCCTACACAAGAAGGCTGCCTCGCCCTCACGTCGAGGTGAAGTTTGAAAAGGCCTGTTCTACTATGGTGCTTTTCGAGATGCTACGACGCAGTTCCTCCAGAGCCATTTTCTTGACGCCATCCAGGTAGAGCTGAAATATTGTCATGCGGACGTATAGCCTGAGCTAGGACATAGTGGCAAGTACAGGAGTGCAGTAGATTCCAGATGAACCTCGCATTCGATGTGAATGCATACGTCGCGAGCAGGTTGACCAATGGTCAATGAATGAGCTCCAATCTTGGTGGATTCTCTGCGGAGTGGCATGGATACGGCTGATTCAACACCTTTCCACGCGCAGTGCATCAGGGAAACCCTCCCTAGCTAATTATTCCTCAATTTTGTCTGATTTTACAAAATGGTAATAGCCCTAATAATCGAAACTAATATGATATAATTTGACATATTTAGGCACAGCAAGATGGGCACAATTCCTGTTTTCCGCAATAATGTCTAATCAAGTTATAGGAAAGTGACAAACGTATGGCGGTCCAAGAAAGGGTTTACGAAGAAAGCAGGAGCAAGGTCCAAGACGGTGCTACTTGACCACTCACGAGGCGCCACTGGACCCCACTTTGGAAAGAGATGTATGCTACGCTCGATTTGCGAGACTGGAATGATACTTGCTAGACGTTCCCCATTTTGAATAGACCGTGTAACCTTATACATACCTGATTTGCGATCTGGCCTGGAGGAAAAAGGTGAGAACCACTCAACATATGCCAAGTGTTCTGGTGGACACCGCTTGAACAAAGTCGCGACCCCACGAGGAGGCACTGAAAACACGAGACGGACTTGGGCAATGCGATAGCCTATACAAACGGAATCAACAGGAACCCGTTCCAATAGACTGAGTGATTTGACTGACCTTGCAAGCTAGTGCCGCTTCCGTTGCTTGCTGTCCCCAGGTTCACAAGTACAGTATCGAACCTCGCTGGAACTGCTCGGCCACGCGAGTCTTGACGTACAGGCCTCACATGCACAGCATCAGATGAGTCCTGTTCCGATTTGCGTCTGAATGGATCTCTGTTCCAGAACTTGATTTTGTGATAGACCGGAACAGTTTGAAAGCGGATGGAAAGACTGGCGGCAGCGTTTTCGATCTGGGCCCGAGTTAGCTGGGGTTGATGATACTGTACCACAAAGCGCGCAAGCGCTGCACTGAAGAATATCGCGCCATAGTCAGAGCGGATCGTCGATAACGGTACCGCCTTCAGACTAGGATGGCGTGTCATGCGCAGATGGTCGCGGGGACCCGACTCTTCTCCAGTCTTCGTGTTTGAAGCCGGGCTCCCCGCAATACGCCAGCGGACATACTTATCATGCCGCAGCACTTTCTCGCGGCGTTCTAACCAACGTGTCATTTGCGGGTATTCGTCCTTATGATTTGTCGCCCGATACGCGTCTTTGGTGAAGTCGATATGTAAGCGCTCAGTGTATTCGGTGTTGTAGTTGTCGGTAGTCCCGAAAATCTTAATGGAGATAAAGTAATGCAGCAACGCGTGCAGCTTCGGCAGATTGAAGTCGTTGCGGATACCTAGGTCGACAAATATACCCTTGTTCTCGTGAAATGCTTGTAATGCCACTTCGAGGAGTTTGAGTGTGTCGTCGGTATGAACGGGATATTGGGCTAGATAACAGAAGTCCAGGATCGCGCGGGTGGCACGAACAAGCCGAGCGGAGGAAAGGCCATCCGGCAGGCGAATATCAGTGATAAGGCCAAGCAAGAGCTGGCACATCTGGGCATGCTCACGGCCAGTAACCTTCGACAACGTACTGATGCCTTTCGTGAACAGCCGGATATGGTGATTTGGTGGGAATCGGCGGCAGCGAGCATCAATCTCTGCAGCACCGCATGCGTTCGTCACCCAAGAGATGACGTGCTTCATAACACCTTGATAAAGCTGATGCAAGATGTCGGGAGTTATCGACTGGAAGATATTGACGTAGGGAAGCCCCTCCCAGAACGGATGTTGGGTTGGCTTAATCCCTGCGTGCGCGCAGGCCTTCACGAAGGCACCGGGTCCTTGCGCGATACTAGCGAGAGCCTCCAGCACAGCGTCCATGTCACGAAACTCGAAAGAATCATACTCCCCAAGTTGATCATGTGGTACTGGACATCTTGGACACTGACCTGTCTTTGTGCCAGTCACAAGCACTTGTTCAGGATAGTCGCCAACAAACATGGCAAACAAAGGATGCGTCCGACGGCAGACGCCGTCGCCGCGGGCCATCACGACACCAGTCTCGCCAGCCTTCTTCAAAGGACGGAGTATCCGCCGGACGCATGAATGGAATAGATTTGCAAGTGTTCGACGACGTGCTGCCTGATTGGTGATATGATCAAGACGTGAGGTAGGGAGGTAACCAAGGAGTATATGACCACCGCGCGACGGCTTTCGCCTGATTTCCTTCGGTAGGTTCCCGATCGTCATATAGATGGGATATGCTGACTTGTTTCCGAACAGAGTGATCTGTGTCTTGTCGGACGAGATGATCACTGGCACTATTGTAGCACCTGGTCGATCACGCTCAAGCTCTTTCTGTAAATGACAGGCACGGATTATGCATAGAAAATGTGCACGAAGCGGGAATAACAGACCTGCGTTGCCCACCACCACTTCCCGGTGTGTAAATCTGAATACATTCTGACGGTCTTGTCTTGGTCTACATAATGCCGCTCCGGTGCAAATACTAAGTCCGCTACAAACTCGGGATCACCATACAGTGCACGAACACATTCCATGACATCCCGAAAATAGACTTCGAAGGCTTCTCCTGCGACAACTACCTCCTTGCGGTGGAACTTTGGACGACCAGGGAGGCTGTCCACAATCTTGTTCAATGAATCTGCGTCTTTGTAAGTTAAGCCTAACAGATCGCGGACCTGGAGTGGGCTAAGCGGGAAGCAGTAGAGATGGTGAGAACGATACTCACTCCTTCGATCTGCAGTAGCTCGGTCAGAGCGGTTGAACTGGGCCCACGGAGTTTGGCCCATCGTGCTAACTCCCAGTCAAGTTTCGAGGCGAAAGGCGCCCATGGATTCTCCTCAGAGCGGTGAGTTCCTTCCATATATTCACTGTAGGCATGCACTCGGGCACCAGCTTCACGTATTGGAGCACCAGCGGCACCCAGCTCAAACTTCTCGATGACAGGCTGCTTGCGCAGGCTTTCCTCTGCATGGGCTCTGTCCCCTCGCACAGCATCATCACATCCATCGGAGGGCTCAGGCATCACGTCATGCTCAAGCCAGTCGTCAATATCCAAGGGCGGAGCTGCCAATGCCGGCTCCCACCTTTCATCAAGGTCAGCATTATCATCTTCATCACCCGAGTGCTCAAACTCCAGATCATCATCACCTTCGCTCTCACTGTCCGAGTGCGCTATACCATCATCCAGCTCCATCTCATCGTCGACTGCGAAGTCTTCTGGCCTGTAGTCAGTGCCAAAGAAGTCCCCCTCGAACTGTGGCAAAGGATCCCCCGCGCTGTCCGACTCGAGGCCGTTCTCCAGTGCATTCGGGCTTGGGCTACGAGATCCAGGGAGATATGACTGATGTTGCTGGTGTATCACCTGGCAAGGAGGATTGTGGGTTCGTTGCAAGTGTTGTGTGTATCCAGCAAGTGTGAACTGACGCGAACAGCCTGCGCAGGTGGCCATAAGTAATCTTTTGTTGAGCAGGGGTACTCAAAGAGATAGGTTAAGAGGCCGTACGCTCGGCGTGACGCGCTAAGTCCCCCGGCACAAACTTCAAGTCCTCATCGGCAGGATACCTGCCGCTGTGCCCTAGGCCCCGACTCAGTCATCGCGAGATGCCGCCTTTCCACAATTTTACTTCGCACGCCCCCCTTGTCATTCTTCGTCGCTGCCCTTTCTGCCTTTGTCGCCGCCCCCGGGCCTCCTGTGAATCATCAAGGTGGAGGTGGCTCTCCCAATACTCGAACGTACTTACCACAATGTCGAAACCACCAAAGGGCAAGGTAGACAAGTTTGCAGGGCTCACGCCTGGCCAGAAAGCGGCGCAGACAAGGGCCAATAATAGAAGACTTCAAAATGAACAGGATGTGAAGGAGCTGTCCAAAGCCACGGGTGAGTACGACACCTCTGTGAGGTCGCTGATTAGATAAGCGACACCACGGAAAGTCTTCAACGTTCGAGTCTCTCACAGGGATGAGTAGCAAGAGATTCGTGTTCGAAAAAGACCTAGGTATGAGGTACATGGGCTGGGCTTTTATACTACGAGATTACATGTACCGAATAGAAGAGATAGAGACAGAAAATAGAAGAATACGAGAAGAGACGAAATGAATGCGAAGAGGATTAACTCGAAGGCTCCGAAGGAGCCGTATAGCTTAGAGTCCGAATATAGTAGCGAGTAGCTGAATAAGGAATCTACTGGCCGAATACGGTAGCGAGCGCGGGTGCATATCCTTACATCCGCCCTCCAAGGACTACTCATAGTCCTTCTCTAAGCCCATCGCGCGAGTTACATGGTCTTGGGGTCCTCCCAATCGACCTCGGGACCATCCTCCATGTCAGCGTCTTCATCTGCGTTGTTGTGTCCACGATCAGGTTGGTCATCGACATCGGACGCTGCCTCGTGAGGTTCCT